AGCCTCTATGGAGAGAGACATATGACAAGCATGATCATTTCTGACGTGGAGCTAATCTGAACTAAACATTGAACACTGGTTTATATTCCTCCATCTTGTGACTGTGTAACTCCCTCTCTTGGATATCAGCATGTGAAGGACACTGTTCAGGAACTAGTTGATGCTCTGTATGTGATTACATTACATGTTACTTGTTAGACACTTTTATCCAAAGCGATTTACATACTCAATACTGTGGGCAATCCCCACAGGAGCAATTTTGGGGTGAAGTGTCTTGCCCAGGGACACAACAACATGCTGACTGCAGTGGGGTTTGAACCTGTGACCCCCTTATCCGAACACCAAGGCTCTATCCACTGCGCCACACGCCTCCCGTGATGACTACTTCCAATCTGGAGAGGATCAGACATACATGGATCCTGAGATTGAAGCTCAAGCTGGGGACGAGGGATTATTAAAATTTGTAAGTATTCAGAAAAATTCCTAATTTTGAGATTTTGAGAAAAATTCCTAATTTTGAGATTTTTAGAAAAAGTCAGAATTTTAAAAAAAATTCCTAATTTTAAGGTATTGAGATTTTTTGAAAAAGTCAGAATTTGTTGAAAAGGTCAGAATATGGAGATTTTGCGAAAAAGTCAGAATTTGTTGAAAAGGTCAGAATATGGAGATTTTGCAAAAAAGTCAGAATTTTTAGATTTTGAGAAAAAGTCAGACTTTTGAGAAAAAGTCAGACTTTTGAGAAAAATTCAGAATTTTGAGAAAAGGTCAGACTTTTGAGAAAAATTCAGAATTTTGAGAAAAGGTCAGAATTTTGAGATCTTGAGAAAAAGTCAGAATTTGGAGAAAAACTCAGTACATGACAGGATGTATGATTACCTAGAAGAACCGGTATTCCTCCATCTTGTGACTGTAACTCGCTCTCTTGTATATCAGCATGTGAACTAGTTGGACCAAATGCTCTGTATGGGACGACTACTTCCAGGCATTCTGGAGAGGATCATAAATACATGGATCCTGAGGTTGAAGCTCAAGCCGGGGACCAGGGATATGTTTCTAACAAAGACAGAGAACGTTACCTGTGTGAGGAAGCGATCGGAGGCGATGCTGTGCCGGGCCAGAACCAGAGGAGGAACCGGGTTGCTGTACTCAAACTGTGGGTTGTAGTTGAAGTCAGACTTGAAGAACTTGGCCTTCTCTTTCTCCACGTTGGACGGTTTGATGGCGGAGAGGATGCAGAGCCTCTTGGTGTTCTCCACTTCCCGTGTGACGGATGCTTTGTGCAGCGAGGGGAGTTTACTGCGAGGGGAACTCTGGGTTTTCCTGATCTGTGGGACCGTACGAGGGTTCAAACCCATCGTACTTCCCACTACTGCGATGTTTCGAGCTGGTTTGGACAGATTTCCTGAGAGGACTCGGTTTGTCTGTGCTGGTTTAACGCCAACATCTGGTGCTCGACACTTTTTAGGAGCCGTGCTGCCTTGAGGTTTTCTTCTGGTTGTTACTGTGGCGCCACATTTTACAGATGTTTTTGGCCTCTTGAATTGAGAATGCTTGGGACTCTTCTTCTCTTGTTCCTCTGCCTGCAGCAGGGCGTTGTAGCTGCCGCTGCTGAAGAGGTCTTTGAGGACGCTGGAGGAAATCTTCTCCAGGTAAACTTGGCCCGGACTCAGCGCCTTGTCAGCAGAGTTCAGGATGTACTTTTTGGACATTTCTACTTCAGGCCAGTGGAGTCTTTCTGAAAGAAGTGAGACGAGACACCAGTAAGCGAAGACAGAAAGTGTTAGCTGCTAACTTTAGGATCAGACGGTTTCACAGACAGCTTGATCCTCTTATCAAGGAGGGATACAATTAGATCTGTACCAATGACAAGCTAAAAGAACAAGGTGATAAATATAGAAACCAACATTTGCAATCAGTATTTGTTTTAGCATCTCTCTAAGCAAGTTACAACTTTATTTTCCCATATTTTGGCTGTCTTTCAGAGTCATAATGATGTTTTCTGACACAAATAATCCCTGACTCAGTTTCTTGAGCATCTTCTATCTCCGAGTACCGGTAAATGATTCCAGACCTGGCAGTAACGCTCAGGAGTCAGAGTGCAGGTCTGTGCAGTTTCCAGTAAGGTGACCTGGAACATCGTAATCACAGAGAGAGCAGGATAGAGTTTGGACAGGAGCACTGAGGCAGAATCCATGCAACCACAGACAGAAACTAATGACACAGCAGCACAGTAAATAATGGAAGAGAGAACAGGACAAATTGGAGCTTCGTTGGCGTGCTCATACAGCGAATAAAACACTATTATCTAACACTTCAGCTGGTTATCTCATCATTCAGATCAACCTCAAATGATAGTCTTATATCACTTCATACTGTAGGCAAGGAAGTAAACAACCAAGCATCTCCTGGGTGTTTTATTTCAAGACATTCCCCTGCCAGTTACCTTAAATTATATGAAAGTTATGAGAGAAAACACAGTCCTGAAACCTGTGTAGTTCAACTACAAAATAAATCAAAACTGAAGCGCCTGCAGTTCATACATCACCATTAATCAGAAAATGGCACTAGTGTGAATTTGAAAGCAGATGAAGAGCATTAATCAGCACTGAGTCAGCACTGAGTAAGCTCGGCCATAACTCTTAACAACACAAATGCCTAGGATACAGTCAAATAGGCACTAAAAGACACAATATATATTATACAGAATACTGACATGTACTCTAGGTAAGGCAAGGTAAGCTTATTTATAGAGCACATGTAAGACACTATCAAAGTGTCTTACACAAGCCCTAACATACTAAACAAGTAAAATGCAAAATAAGAGTGCTTTCATCAAAAATGTTCAGTTGTGATTAATAGACTTATGTACATCTTTGAAGTAATTTTACTTTGCATGCTACTGTGTACTTCTACTCCTCTACAATACAGAGGTACATGGTGTACTTTTACTCCTAACAGAGTATTCCTACACTCTGGTACTTCTACTTTTACTCAAGTATAAGACCTGAGTACTTATACTCTTACTCAAGTACAAGATCTGAGTACTCCTCCCACCTCTGCCTAAGATATTAAGCTAATTTAGCTAATTTAACTAGCTAGTTTTTGGTACAGGTAGCTGTAATTGACCTCCTTGCTATTATAAAGGTATTACATGTATTTAACCCTTGTCCCTGATATGTAGTGACTCCTCCAGGTGACTGAACTTCCAGCTACAGTCACTAAACTCAACAGAAAGAGAAGATAAATGCAGATTACCTGTGACTTTAATGGACTCCAGCATCCTCTCCGTTCACCTGAGCGTTAGCCACTCAGCAAAGTTAGCCTAGCAGAAAGAGCCGGCTAATAAAGACTAGATATAAACCAAAGCGAGTTACCTGTACTTACTACGTGTCACGATAAACCAGTAAATATATGTATAAGTATTAATATATATAAGTATTTCTGATGTCTGACAGCAGAGCGTCCTGCCTTCTCTGAGCTGCAGACAAACTGACAGCAGAGAGAGAGCGAGAGGCTTTAGTGCTGTTCCCATGGTTACGTTGATAAGAACGCAAAACACACAGTGCTCATGGGAAATGTAGTCCGTCCATCCAAGTAGGTTTACACATACGAGATATTTTATAGTATATATGGTGCACACAAAGACACAGAAATAATGATATTCAGAAGAAAAAAGATTGCAATTATAAATATAATAATCTTTATGAATTAAAGCTATTTAAAAAAAGGATAGGCCTATGTAAAAGGATTGTATAGTAACTAATTAAACATAAAGACAATATTTACACAAAATATAAATATGTGAGAGACTGAATACAGTAAAATATAATAAGACAAATACTATATACTTCATTCAAGAGGTGGAGCAGAAGTGTTGTGCAGGATTTACAATATTAAAAAGAGACAGCGTAAGACATGGGGGAAATGAACCAGTTTCGTCTTAAATGATCGAAGATTTATGCATACAATAAAAGCAGTGCTAATTTATTATCAATGGTTTCATTTCAGAGCTCCTGTTATTCTATATGAGACGTTACTTACGATTAGCCGCCATGATTGTAGTTTTCTATGGAGCGTTTGTTACCCACCGTCTGTTGGTTCCTTGGGTTCAACTTTATTTAGTCAGTTTCGTGTTAATTGTTTCTCTTTCTTAAAGCAGTAAACAGTAAAGTCACTGCCGTGCTTCTGTTGTCCCCCCTACAGGTATGTTGTATATAAAAGGATAGACAACATGTTTAAGAATATCTGGCGGCCCTTTGGATTTATCAGATGATCGAATGGATGACTAACTGCAGGACCAATGCAGTTTCCCAGCTTGTATAATTGTTATGGTTTTGAATGATAACCATTTCCTTTTGTCATATTTTCTTTTCTTAAGCATATTTCTGAATAAAAGATAATGTTTGGAAAATACAAATCAATAATTATAGTTATTCTCTCTGTTCACATGCTGCCGGGACACAGTGACATGGCATTTTCACACTTTCTGGTCTTTTATTATACAAGTTAATTGAGTTTGACAAACCAAGTAGCATTTTGTGGAACCTGTGGACAAAATAAATGCAATTAAAGTCAACGTATCATTTATTTTAATGGGCCAATTTCCTTTAAAAGTAATGAATTACTCTCCTAATGAGTCTGTTCAGATGCTGCTGACACACTGACACAACTTTAATATCCCTTGTTTATCAGAATGTATTTATATTTGGCTCAAAACACACACTTCTTGGTCTTTTATTATACAAGTTCATTAACTTAGACAAACTTAACATCAACATATCAGTGTTTTTCTGTGTGTATTATCCTCTAAAATACAATAATTGTTCTCATACTGTCTGTTCAGATGCTGCTAAGACACAGTGACACAACTTTAATATCCCTTGTTTATCAGAATGTATTTATATTTGGCTCAAAACACACTTCTTGGTCTTTTATTTGACAAGTTCAATAACTTAGACGAACCATATACCATTTTGTGGAACCTGTGGACAGAAAACACATTTAACTAAAGTCAACATATCATCTTTTTAATGGGGTAATTTCCTTTTCAATTCACACTTTTTGACTTAACATCAACGTATCCATGTTTTGCTGTGTGTATTATCCCCTTAAAGTCAATAATTACTCTCTTAATGAATCTGTTCACATGCTGCTGAGACACCGAGACATCACTTTTGTTCATTAACTTAGACGAACTTAACATCAACGTATCAGTGTTTTGCTGTGTGCATTATCCTCTAAAAGTCTATACTCTCTTAATGAGTGTGTTCACATGCTGCTGAGACACAGAGAGGCGTTGGTGCCTCCGAACCCGAAGGAGTTAGTGAGAGCGACTCTTCGTCCCTCAGCGCTCCATCTCTGCGCTGTGAAGGGCACGTAGTTCAGGTTAAACTCTGGATCTGTGCGGTCCAGGTTCAGGGTCGGAGGAAGGACCCCGTGGAAGCAGGAAAGAGCCGTGAAAGCTGCTTCTAGAGCCCCTGCGGCCCCTAAAAGGTGCCCCGTAGCCCCTTTCGTGGAGGAGACGGACAGATGCTCGGCGCTCTGATGGAACAGCTTCTTGATGGCGGCGTTTTCAGCGGCGTCTCCCAAAGGAGTGGAGGTGGCGTGAGCGTTAACGTACGTCACGTCTGAAGGAGAAACCCCCGCATCTCTGAGGGCCGCTGACATGCATCTGAGAGGACAGAGGGCAGAGGTCAGAGGTCAGTACAAAGAAGTGGAATATTACACTGTGATAAATAGGTTTGGACATTTGTTTTAGCACCACAAAAGATACAATAAGTTAAATTAGAGGGATCTATGGTATTAGTATAATAATAACATACGAGTAAGAATAACTTAGAAGATAGTACTATTGGGTTGTTGTTATTGATTTGAAAATGTCAGTGGTCCAAAATAAATGTTGATTTCAACAAAAGATTGCTTAATTTTTCTGTTAATTTTTCTGTTAATTTTTCAGCCCTACCTTGATAAAATAACATCTTAAATGACCAAGGAAAAACAAGTATTGGAGTAAAACTGGAATGAATAAACATGACTTAGATTGTGTCTGATTGTTGTGATTTAGGGAGGTTGTGGCTCAGTGGTTAGTGCGCTGATCTTCAGATCACTGGGGCACTGGTTTGAATCCCGCTGCAGTCAAACATTCTGCTGTGTCCTTGGACAAGACACTTCACCCCAAATTGTTCCTGTGGGGATTTCCCACAGTACTGAATGTATGTAAGTCGCTTTGGATAAAAGCGTCTAACAAGTGACATGTAATGTAATGTAATTTATCCATAATTCGATCCCAAAGTTTGAAACCACTACTTTAATAAGTGACAGTAGTTTTACTGCATTATATATATTACTTAAACGTTGAAACTACAAGATGAAAATGTAACTCCATGCATGATAAAACCCTAAATTAGAGACCTGAAGGCTCCATCTCCATCAGCAGTCGGGGCCGTGATGTGGCTGGCGTCCCCTGAGAGTCCGTACCCCAGAATCTCAGCGTATATTCGGGCTCCTCTCCTCACAGCATGCTCTCTTTCCTCCAGAAGCACCACAGCTGCACCCTCTCCCATCACAAAGCCTGCTCTCTCTGGGTGAAAGGGCCTCGAAGCCTTCGGAGGATCATCGTTCCACTTCGTAGCGAGGGCCCTTGCTCTGGAGAACCCAGCTACAGATAAAGGACCCACGCAGGATTCTGCTCCTCCTGCCACCATCGCATCTGCATCTCCGTAGGATATAAATCTGGCAGCGTCTCCTATAGCGTGAACTCCCGTTGTACAAGCTGTAGAAACTGCATGGTTGGGGCCCTTCAGTTTGTGCCGGATGCTGATGTGCCCGGCGGCCATGTTGACGAGGATTCGAGGCACGAAGAAGGGGCTGACCTTCTTGTATCCTTTCTCCTGGAAAGCAGAGGCGGTGCGAGAGATTTCCTCCAGAGACACCATGCCCATTCCCACAGCTACCCCAGTGCGAAGCTGCTCTTCTGGGGTTTTAGGGAGAGAAAAGTACACACATCCTTTACTCAAGTAGAAGTACAGATACTCGTGTTTAAAAATACTCTGGTGAAAGTAGAAGTACTGACTAAACTTCTTTACTCAAGTAAAAGTAAAGAGGGCTTTGAAATGTACTTCAGTAAAAAGTACCCATAACTAGCAGCTGTTTTAAAGAGTACCTGACCTCCCTTTATATCAATAGAACAATAATGTCATTGTTAGCTAATGAATGTTTCCATGCTGAACAACGGCAACATGACAACGTTTTCATTGGTCCCTCTTCTTTAGAGAAGACCAGGAAATGATGGATACACGGATCGTGTTCAAATCAATAGGCACGCAATGACTCTAAATAATAATGATCATGCCACCAAACACACATTCAAACTAAAGGAACCAGCCTGTTTGGAAAATGTGAGAAGTAGAAAGTACAGGTATTTGGGTTCAACATGTAAGAAGTAGAAAGTACAGGTATTTGTGTTCAACATGTAAGAAGTAGAAAGTACAGGTATTTGGGTTCAACATGTAAGAAGTAGAAAGTACAGGTATTTGGGTTCAAAATGTAAGAAGTAGAAAGTACAGGTATTTGGGTTCAAAATGTAAGAAGTAGAAAGTACAGGTATTTGTGTTCAACATGTAAGAAGTAGAAAGTACAGGTATTTGTGTTCAAAATGTAAGAAGTAGAAAGTTCAGGTATTTGAGTTAGAAATGTAAGAAGTCAAAGTAAAAAGTGGTCAGAAGAATAAGTAGTGGAGTAAAGTACTGATACCAGTACCAGAAACATGTACTTAAAGGTCCCCTATTATAAAAAAAAAACATCGTTATGACATCATAAAGTGGCCAAAATCTGATCAGCTAATTTTCAGACAGGTTTTTATATAAATGGATCAGGACAAAAAGAGAGAGAATCTTTGTTCCTGAAACGTTCAGACTCTCTTTACACAGAGGGGACACATGTTGATGTAGAAGAGACATGAACAAGCGGATTTTGCATAATAGGTGACCTTTAAGTACAGTAACAAAGTATTTGTACTCCACTGCTTCCCACCTGTGGTCGTCGGGGTCCAACCTGAGTCCTCCAGAGCCAGTTGAGCGGCTCCAAGTGCCATCACAGTGGCTGGACACATGCTGTTGATTTCCCCTCGAGATGCAAACTTCTCCTCCTCAAATTGCCCCGGTTCCTTTCCTCTAGGGACCAGAGCAGCCACTCTACAGGGGATGGTTCTGTACTGCTCTGAGGTGAGAGCCACAATCCCATTATGTCCCTTAATCAAGCGTTCCCAGGGTAAAGTAGTGCCAGTTCCCAGAGGACAAACCAACCCAATCCCAGTGATCACAACCCTCCTTTTCTGCGTTCCAGAGCTGCAGTGTCTTGAGTCTTGGTTTGGAGAAACACTGACATTTTTTTGAAGAAGGACCCGGATGTTGTGAGGTCTCAGCTGGAGTTTAGTCCTGCAGGAAAGTGACAGAGCAGACATGCTGCTTGTTTAAAAGGTTTCCTTCTTCTTCTGTGAGGTTTATTGGCTCCACCTACAGGAATGAAGTGTCAGTAGACTTGCAAGAAACACACAAAAAATCCTCTCTATCATTCTGGTTGCTCTTAAAAACAAACAGGCTGTATACTTTGTCTGAGGCTCTCCCTAAGTTAAGTTTTAATTAGATAACCCTGAAGCTAACACTCCCCTGTTATAGTCATATTTGTGACAGTCTATTCACACATGTTTATACAGTTAGCTTGTAGTTTCGTTGATTTAACAGGAATTAATGTACACATTTACAATTGAAATACCCTCCAAAACATACGTGTGTTACTTACTCGGCCAAACATTACTTCAAAATTACCTGTTAATTGTTAATAAATCCCATAAACAAGAAAACAAACGAGTTTATCCTTGAAACTGCCTGACAAATGCTTATAGGTAGCAATTCTGAACGCCTGATTGGCTTAGCACGTACATTTATGTCTTAGTTTATTCCATTAATGGCAATTATTATAAAACAAAGCATGAAGACGTTACGCAGCTTGTATAGCCCTTGATGGAAAAGAGCAGGGAGAAGAACATCTTATTTTACGTATTTTCTAAACTACAAACACATATTCAGGCGCTGATACGTCACCCAAAACCCCAAAGGGACCCCGACATATATTAGCATCGTTAGCATCGTTAGCTCAGCTTGTGAAAACTCTGTCGGTTTGTGTAATAAAGATGTCTGTTTCTCCAGCAGTCACGACTTTATGTGAGAATTCAGATGAAGTCTTCCTGGACGCGGCGAAGCTGTTACTGACGTACTCTGATAATATCATGAGGTAAGGTTTTAATCTGAATTAACGCTTTGTTTATGTGGTTTATTAGCTTAGCTGTCATTTTTAAAACGTGTATTAATGAGGTTTTCTTAATGACACGAAACTATACAAAACTAAATCTATAAAATGTGGCAAAAGTAAACAATTTGACAAATTTCTACACAACTTAATCCTCGATTGACCACTATTTGTTTCTGTCTTCTTTTCATAATGCCTTCAGTTGGAAGTCATGTAATGAAAACTGATGTAAATCAATAACAAACTAGCATTGTGTTTGTCAACAACAGCAACAACAACACCAACAACTGTGTAAACGCATCAGTTAAAAGCACTGGTGTAAAGTAACTAAGTACATTTACTCAAGTACTGTAATTAAGTACAATTTCGAGGTACTTGTACTTTACTACTGTGTACTTCTACTCCACTACAGTTCAGAGGTAACTGGTGTACTTTTACTCCACTACATGTATGTAATACCTTTAGTTACTTCACAGATGTGGATGAATGATGTGAAATATAATCAAGTGTTAAATCAGACTTTAGTTCCACCTGGAGTAAATTCTCAAGCTACCCTGCAGTATACAAAGTCATTCAAACTAGCTGCACCTTTACCAGCTTTGAGAACACTTTCATGATCAATCATTATAAAACATATCATATATATTATTCTGAAATGGACCAATCTGCACAATGACTACTTTTACTGTCGCAACTTTCACTATATTTAGATGAGAATACTTTTCTACTTTTACTTGAGGAACATTTTGAATGCAGGACTTTCACTGTAACAGAGTATTCCTACACTCTGGTACTTCTACTTTTACTCAAGTACAAGATCTGAGTACTTCTACTTTTACTCAAGTACAAGGTCTGAGTACTTCTACTTTTACTCAAGTACAATATCTGAGTACTTCTACTTCATGATGTGTGTGTCTCGTTGTTGGTACATAGTAATGTGTCTCTTCCCGACCACAGAAAACCACCTTGAAGGCCTTGAAAACAGCTCTTAACGTCCTCTTCTCTTGTCTCTTCCCAACAGGTTTCCCAATGAGGAAAAGTACAGATCGATCCGCATCGGAAACCCCACGTTCTCCACCAAGCTGCTGCCCATCAAAGGAGCCGTGGAGTGCCTCTTTGAGATGGGGTTTGAAGAGGTAATTAACTAATAACAGACAAAACTAACTACTATAATCAATTGAAGCCTATATTCCTGGTGTACACCTACAATCTGTAATAACTGTGTAATGTATACTTGTATTTTCATGATGTTATCTGGCTGCTATCACACTACTTCTACATGCTACACTTATTTTATGTTTTAAATAATACTGTTATTGTACTAATTTCTATCTCTAATATCTTATTTCTGCCTCTTTATTATTATTTTGCCTCTTTATTTATGCTGTAACGATGTACATATCTCCTCTGTGGGACTAATGAAGGTATTCAGAAACAGAAACAGGTTTACTGCCTTGGTGTATTCGGTGCATAAACATAAACACAGTTAGAGAAGTTAAAAAAGTAAGAAAATGACCATAAAGTAAAACAATGATTAAAATGAAAACGTAAGAAATTGCAATATTTACATTGAATATAGATGTTATATAGATATACCCGTACAAATATAATAAAATGTGCAGGATTAGTATGAATAGTGAAAAGCCGTATAGATATAAGACGTAGCTTTGTGTACAATGTGCACAATTCAGAGGGTTGTGCAGGACTGACTGAAATAAACAAGATATGGTTTAATGTAATGCTTAGAGTCTGATTCTGATTAGGGCTGAACGATTAGTCATTTTAAATCGAAATCGCGATTTGAAATGATGCAATTATCAAATCTGCTTGTGTGTCAGTCATCCACACCAATCAGAAGTGCTGTGCTCCACATGTACCAGTCATTGTTAACCAATCAGAAGTGCTGTGCTCCACATGTACCAGTCATTGTTAACCAATCAGAAGTGCTGTGCTCCACATGTACCAGTCATTGTTAACCAATCAGAAGTGCTGTGCTCCACATGTACCAGTCATTGTTAACCAATCAGAAGTGCTGTGCTCCACATGTACCAGTCATTGTTAACCAATCAGAAGTGCTGTGCTCCACATGTAGCAGCCATTGTTAACCAATCAGAAGTGCTGTGCTCCTCATGTACCAGTCATTGTTAACCAATCAGAAGTGCTGTGCTCCACATGTACCAGTCATTGTTAACCAATCAGAAGTGCTGTGCTCCACATGTACCAGTCACTGTTAACCAATCAGAAGTGCTGTGCTCCACATGTACCAGTCATTGTTAACCAATCAGAAGTGGCCCATGATAGAAGGTGATAGACAGATTGATCCAATCACCTGCCAAGTATTTTTGAAAGTGCCTGCCCTTTCCAAATGGCTTCCAATGGAGCTTTCCTGATGGTTTGGTGAAACAAACCATCTGAGTCAGGTTAGTAATGCTCCATCACATGTTCTATTACAGGGTGAATCTTAAACTGAAGCTTGACTTTAAAGCAACCCAACGGAAGTTTCATGTAAGTTTAGTTCTTTCACTCGTAGCTCGGGGTGCTAGAGACAGGAGCACGTTGATACGACCTTCCTAGCTGGAGATATGGCCGCATTTTACAATAAACTTCCGTTGGGTCGCTTAAAAACAAATATCGCAAATCGAATCGCAATCGCAATATCTGTCAGAAAAATCGCAATTAGATTATTTCCCCAAATCGTGCAGCCCTAATTCTGATGTTGTCATTAGCCTGACACTGATAGTGATGTTGCCCCTCCTTTTCAGGCTGAGACCCACCTGGTGTTCCCCAGGTCTGCATCAGTGAATCAGATGAAGCTCATCAGGGACTCCATAGCAGCAGAAAGAGACCGGAGGCTGGGGGGGAGGCAGGCTGCATCTCCCATTACTCCCACTACTCCCACTTTACCCACTACCTCTCCCATTACTCCCACTACTCCCACTTTACCCACTACCTCTCCCACTACTCCCACTTTACCCACTACCTCTCCCACTACTCCCAGCTCAGCCTCAGCTCCAGTGATCTCTGCACCTCCTCCACCACAGCCTTCCTCCCTGGTAAAGATGAGCTCTTCCCTGGTTTTAATGGCAGGAATTATGAAAATATAATTTGTCTTTACTATCAACCCTTAAATGGGCCTTCACATATAAATATTTTGGAAAATGAATTGATTGCTGTTAATACACCCTATTACACACATGTTTCACCATTATTACGATACGATATTACTATAATGGTCAGATCAAGTCTGAAACTTTACTGCCCATTACACCCATGTAAACAATTATTACAACTGTATTGCACCCATAATTATACACACGTCACACCCATGTTATTCTGTAAATACACTTATATTGCACTGTTATCACACCCATGTAACACCAATACTACACCCCATTTCACAGCCTGTCAAATGACTGTATCCCACAGAAACCATTTAAGGGTTACAAATGTGTTAGTAACCTGTTTTGTGTTCCTGTGTTTCCTTCAGGAGAACAGTATGAACTTCTTTGCCACCCTGCAGTCTAACTTCCAACACGTGCTGCTGTACGAGAACCTGGATCTGCAGCAGAAAGCTCTGAGCTGCATCCCTGAGGAGAGGCTGAGGTCTGAGGCAGAGATCCAGCTGAGAGGGGCCAGAGAGGAGGATCCAGGTGAACAACATTCAGAGGATAACTGTCATGTGCACAGGAGACACATGTAGATATGGAAATGGAAAATCTTAAGTCTACGGCTCCTCCAACAATCCAACATAAATATATAACACATAACATTTCTTATTATAGACACATGTATTTTCAAGCATTTGGTCTACCTATGTTGTAAATGTATTATCTTTTTGATTTACACACGGCATCTATTGCACGTCTGTCCGTCCTGGGAGAGGGATCCCTCCTCTGTTGCTCTCCCTGAGGTTTAAAACATTTCCCCATTAACTTTGGGGTTTCTTTGGAAGTGTTTTCTTGTACGATGTGAGGGTCCGAGGACAGAGGGGGTCATATTGTCATACTGATACTCTGTACAAATTGTGAAGTCCACTGAGACAAATGTAAGAAAAAAAGAAACACTTCATAGACATGTTTTTTATATATCTGAGACTTAAAAATAGTATAATAGGAGTCCTTTAAGTCACAGGCTCCTCCAACAATCCAACATAACGTAAAACATATGATGTAAAACAAATATACCAATAAAACTGATAAAACAGTGCAAGAGAATGTTTTGAGATGTGCAAGTAAATACAAATAAAATAGAAATATTGCAAGAATACACCTATATTGCACTGTTATTACATGTAACACCAATACTACACCCCCATTTAAATAATAATAGTGCAAAAGAAACAGAATAGAAATAAAATAGTGCGAGAGAAGGTTGAATGTGTGTCATGTGACTCTGCTGACTCCCCCTCCTGTCTGCAGATTGTAAACTGGGCCTGGAGGACTTCCTGGTGCTGGAGCTGCTCAGATGGTTCAAACAGGACTTCTTCTCCTGGGTGGACCACCTGCCGTGCAGCCGCTGCTCAGGAGCCACGCAGAACTCTAACCCTCTGCAGCCCTCTGCTGAGGATCTACGCTGGGGGGCCCAGAGGGTCGAGAACCACTACTGTCACACCTGCAGGCTCTCCACCAGGTTCCCCAGGTGCGTGCGTGCGTGCATGTTTAGACTGATGTGTTTGTGTGAGTGTGTGTGAGTGTGTGACAGGGGAGATATTTGGGCACGGATTAAAGGTCAAGAATGCCTTCTGTGTTTGATAGTAACACTCTTTAACTCCAGCGTGACTCATCATGAGTTTCAGAGTCACCACAGAGAGAGAGAGTTCCTTAGAAACAAACAGACACACACACACACACACACACACACACACACACACACACACACACACACACACACACACACACACACACACACACACACACACACCACACACACACACACACACACACACACACACACACACACACACACACACACACACACGCACACACACAGTGAGACATAGTTTAACCCAATGTGCTTGTAAACACCAGGTGGTAACAGGGCTTTTTTATTGATTATACATTCTGTTTTGTTAATTGCAGATACAACAATCCTGAGAAGCTCCTGGAGACCAGGAGGGGGCGCTGTGGGGAGTGGGCCAACTGCTTCACTCTGTGCTGCAGAGCCATGGGTCTGGAGGCCCGATACATCTGGGACAGCACAGGTACCTGCATGAAGACTGAAGGATGTGTAGTGCTCATGATCTCTGCAGAACAACAGAGATCCATGGCGGTGTGTGTATAGTGTGTTAAAGCTCTCCTATCATGCAAAATGCACTCTCTGATGTCTTTTCTACATAAACGTGTGTCCCCGTGTGTCAGGACACTCACTAAGTGTCAGGAAATAAAACCCTCTCTCTTTTCCTCCGTACCCAAATCTCTAAAAACGGGGGAACAACGGAGCTGATCCAGATTTGCTGCGTCATGACGACATTACTAAAATGTCCACGGGCCAATCAGAAACGTTGCTGTCAGAAACAATGAGACGTGTTCTGGAAGTAATATGGTCTGTGTTTACATTAGCATTGCTAACACTCAGAGCTAACCTGTACTGGAGAGAGTATGTGTAAAGAAGCAGGACATATAAAAAGGAACTCACCTCGTGGTAAACCTGAGAGAGAGAAAGAGTTTGAGCTCCATACTGTTTCAGAGATACTCCTTGATGTGGTTTGGAACATGATATGGAGTTTCATCACGGCAGCATTTAGCTGAGTTTCTGCTGGGAGAATTCTCCTGCATGAGCTCTTGTTTTTGTTTTTTTAAAGCTACGGACCCAGAATCAGCCCTTTTTGTAACAGGGCTGAAATAGAGGGATATGAGGCTAGAATGGGTGATCTGTTTGGCATTTTCAGCAAAACACTTCATAGACATGATGGGAGACCTTTAAATGTTTCCGTGGTGTTTCAGATCACGTGTGGACGGAGGTTTTCTCCACTTCTCAGCGCCGGTGGCTGCACTGCGACTCGTGTGAGAACGGCTGTGATAAACCTCTGCTTTATGAAGTGGGCTGGGGGAAGAAGCTGGCCTACATCCTGGCTTTCTCCAAGGACCAGGTCAGACTCAAGGACTACACACACAGTTTTAGTACTACTCAAGGGTGTAACTTTGGTTTGAGAAGTGGGGGGGACACAAAACAGGGGGTCCTCCGCAATGAAACATTCTCAATTTAATTCCATTTCCTGCCAATCTACAAATATATTAGGGACTATAGTGTTAACAAATCCAAGAAAAATGTGTAGTGTATATAATGAGTGTGCACACTTATCTAGTATCCTATCCATGTGAACCTGTTTTACGACAGGAGAGAGCTCTCCCTCTCCTTATCTCCTTATAACAACCCACGTAACTCTCTCAGTCTCTCTCTCAGTCTCTCTCTCAGTCTCTCTCTCTCTCTCTCTATATATATGTGTCTGTCTCTCTCTCACTCTCTCAAAGTCCGACAGGAAAGAGCTCTCCCTCTCCTTATTGTTGAAACAGCTACTAATCTCCGTTAGCTCCGAGCTAGCACCAAATGCTAACAACAACCCCCTCTCTCTCTCTTTCTATCTCTCTCTCACAAGATGCGCTCGTGCCACACACACACAGACGCTCCTCCTTGACGATGACCGCTTGCGTAAAAAAATAATAATAAACACATTTAAAAAGTGGGTCGGACACAAATGGGATTTTGAAAAGTGGGGGGGACATGTCCCCCCTGTCCCCAGTGGAAATTACGCCCATGGTACTACTAGCTGGGTAACATTACTACACACGGGACAACGACTTGTTAAAAGCTGTACTAATATCTGTCCAGTTTATTGGTCAAAAATACTGCAGTAGCTGAAATATAGGCTCATAATATACCGTATATACATATGATGGTATATAATTGACAGATATACAGAAGAATTGCAAACATTGTGTTAAAAGCATGGTTATCTGTTTGTCTGTGTGATCCCCTGTAATGCTCCTGTGTTGTTCTGCAGGTGGTGGATGTGACCTGGAGATATTCCTGCAAACATCCAGAGGTTTTGTCGAGGAGGATGAAGGTCCAGGAGTCCTGGCTGCTGCACACCATCCACAGGCTCAACACCTCGGTGAATATTAACCCTTTAAACCCTGCATACGAGACTCATGCACACGTCTGATTATAAATAATACACTTTATAATAATAACAATACACTTTATTTATATATAGCACCTTTCATGCTTGACGCAGCCCAAAGTGCTTTACAGAGTATGACAGAAAATGACAAACAGAAAGAGTTATATCACTGAACCATAAAACAATAAAACATGAACATTGATACTGCAAAAAAAATGTGTATATGATATAAGTGTTTATTTACATGCTTAACGTTGATGTATATGAGTTTGTGTGTGTATATGTATGTAGGCATGTGTGTGTGTGTGTGTGTAAGAAGAATTGGGGTGTCAGGTTTTTTTTTTTTATAAGCCAAATTAAGGTTTTATTTATATAGCACCTTTCAACACAAGGCAATTCAAAGTGCTTTACAGAAATCTAGAAGATAGGTCTTTCATTTACTTTTACAAATTCTAATTGAAGTTGCTGTTCCTCCTCTCTTCGCTGCTGTGATATTTCAGAGGCAGCAGTCCCTGAGTCCCGAGAGGAAGAAGGATCTGACGGAGCGGCTGCTGGTGGAGCTCGTGGAGTTTCTGTCTCCAAAGAAACCAAAATCAGGAGAGCTGGGAGGACGAAACTCTGGATCTCTGGCCTGGAGGAGAGCCAGGGGGGAGACCAGGAAGACTGATGCAGGGACCTCTACTGAGATACAGGTTTGTGTGTGTGTGTGTGTGTGTGTGTGTGTGTGTGGTGTGTGTGTGTGTGTGTGTGTGTGGTGTGTGTGTGGGTGTGTGGGTGTGTGGGTGTTGTGTGGTGTGGGGGTGTGTGTGTGTGTGTGTGTGTGTGTGTGTGGTGTGTGTGTGTGTGTGGGTGTGTGGTGTGTGTGTGTGTGTGGTGTGTGTGTGTGTGTGTGTGTGTGTGGTGTGTGTGTGTGTGTGTGTGTGGTGTGTGTGTGTGTGTGTGTGTGTGTGTGATAGGTGTGTGTGTTTCTGGTTGTCGTGTGTGTGTGTGTGTAGCTGGATGTCTGATATGTGTGTGTGTGTGTTTCTCGTGTGTGTAGCTGGATGTCTGATAGGTGTGTGTGTTTCTGGTTGTCGTGTGTGTAGCTGGATGTCTGATATGTGTGTGTGTAGCTGGATGTCTGACATGTGTGTGTGTGTGTAGCTGGATGTCTGATATGTATGTGTGTGTGTGTGTAGCTGGATGTCTGATATGTGTGTGTGTGTGTAGCTGGATGTTTGATACGCGTGTGTGTGTGTAGCTGGTTGTCTGATACGCGTGTGTGTGTGTAGCTGGTTGTCTGATACGCGTGTGTGTGTGTGTAGCTGGTTGTCTGATACGCGTGTGTGTGTGTAGCTGGTTGTCTGATACGCGTGTGTGTGTGTAGCTGGTTGTCTGATACGCGTGTGTGTGTGTATTGCTGGATGTCTGATATGTGTGTGTGTGTGTAACTGGATGTCTGATACGTGTGTGTGTGTGTGTGTAGCTGGATGTCTGATACGTGTGTGTGTGTGTGTGTGTGTGTAGCTAGCTAGATATCTGATATGTGTGTGTAGCTGTGTGTTTAATAACTGTGTGTGTTTGTATGTGTTTCCTCAGGCTGCAGGTTTTGTGTTCACTCCGACGGAGAAGGAGAAGATGCAGAAGTTGCTTCACGTGCGTTACTCTTCCTCCAGAGACGAGTACTGCCGTCTGTCCAACGACTCTGAGAGGATCCAGATCTGGGATCAGTGTGTGTGGAGCAGGACGTCCGTCTGCAGGAAGGTGGAGGAGGACTGGCAGATGGTACTTATCACTATTATTATTAAAATGTTTTAATGTATTCTACTATTTCAACAATTAGACAGTTTATACATGCGAAATCTAACAAAATGAGTGGAAGCAGGAGGGCAGAAAGCAGAGTTTATCCTCCCGTTAGTCATCCAGCTGCAGGATAAAGAAAAGAAAAGATAATTCCTTAATTATATTCACACACAGATAAACAAAATTCTATATATACATACACATACATATGTACTAGGGATGTGCATCTCCATCACTGAGGCCGATACGATGCGCATCTCGATACGTTGCCAACGATACGAGACATTAACGATACATTTGAAGCACCAGGCGATGCGATACGATACGATTCACCCCTGTTGCGATACGATTTGATTCAACATTATGCGATTCGGGCGATTCAACACGATGCAAAATAATGATACAATTCAATATGGTACGACAGAGGATTTTGTTTTATTCCTTATATGCAGCAAATCATAAATTAACAAAAAAGTGCTTTACATATTTGGTTCTCTCTACTAGTGCATCCCATCATGCTGTTTCTTTTTTACCTTAAAAAAAACAAAAACACTTGGACTAGGGCTGTGCGATTATGGCAAAAATCATAATCACGATTATTTTGGTCAATAATTGATATCACGATTATTAAATACGATTATTCATTGACTTTGAAAACATCCATTTATTGAACTTTAAAACAAATAGAAATAATAATTTGAACAGTATCTTTTTAACTGTTGATTACCCTGAACGTATAATTCAACTGAAAAACCAATAAATTAAATAAATGATACATTTAAATAAATAATATCAAAAATAATAAATACCAATAAAAAAAGATCAACAAATATTTTGGAGCGCACTTCAACAAGCTACTAAACATATATAAATGAGATCAAATATGTTGTAGTGCACTGTCACAACCTAGCAAAGCAAAATAATCTTTTTTTTCGATTATGTTGTTTTTGTAATTGTGGCAGGCCAAAATCGTAATTGCGATTAAAATACGATTAATTGCACAGCCCTAACTTGGACCTTTCACAAACAGGCCTTTTCACAAGTGTAGTAGTGTTCTCTGTCTCCAGAGTACAGTACAATTGTATAACACCTCACAGTTAAACAATTTAAGGATGCATTGCCCAGGATTAGTGCAAATAACAACTACCATAGTGCAATGCCCATACAGCTGCCAGCCTGATGTGCTTAACACTCATTCATTTAACATAGCAGCACAATCAGTGGGAGAAAAGCTGCTAGGGTTATCTGGGATTCAGCTAACTAATATCTTTTCAGACCCAGGATCATCCTCCAGGTGTGACGACTGATTGTATTTCTCTCCCCAGGTGTACTTGGCTCGAACTGAAGGCTCCTCTTCGGGAAAAGTCAGCTGGAAGTTTGACTTTTCCTCTGCGGGGATGAAGGTTTCTTCTGTCTCCATCTCAGCTAAGAGTGAAACCTTCCACTCGGGGAGCGTCTGCTGGACCCTGCAGGCCGGAGAGAGAACTGCAGCGTTCACTGGAGGTACGCTCACATATTCATCATCAAATACTGCCCACATGTTACTGCTTAAGATGAGATAAGATGGACCTTTATTTATCCCCTTGGGGAAATTCAGGCGTTTATAGCAGCAACAGGGTCCGAATGAAAAACAGGATTCACACAAGGTCAAAATAAAGATAAAATACAAATTGAAATAATAATAATACAACACAAATAAAGTGATAAAGTAATAACGTAACTATTGAAACAAGATATCACGTTTGACATAGTTAGAGCCAGTGTTGTACTCAAGTCACCAAATCTCGAGTCCCCACTCTTCGTGTCCGAGTCCAGTCACGAGTCCCGAAAATCGGCGCTTTAGTCCGACTCCAGTACTCGAGTACTCCAAATGTGCTTAGAGCCACTATAGCACCTATTTATATTTAAGAAAAGTTGTGAATGTTGTAGGTTTTGTATACGTTTTTTTTTCTGCTTTGGGGCAGGGGGGGGGGGGGAGTCCTCCACGTCATAGCACACCTCCGCGGGGTAAGCGCGTCAGGGTGTGCTCTGTCAGCCGCAGCCTCTTTTCTCTCCACAGTTACGACCAGGAGGGAGAGGTGAGTGAGGCGCAGCGGCTGCTAACCAGAAAGCCGGTCAGAAACAGTGAGATGGAACAGTGTTGTTGTTGGACGACAGCGCGTGTATACATCGAGGCTCCGCCCACTGTACCCATAGAGTCCAGTAGAGGGCGGAGCCTGTGAGAGATATAACGAGGGGTTACGTATGGTAACCCTCAGGGGCGGACTGGCCAGTACTGAAGTGGGCCGGTCGAACAATGTGGGCCTCTCGGATAAGTCACTAGCACCCCCCCCCCCCCCGTTGATAATTTACTTGCGGTACCGAAGTGGGCCGGTCGAGAGTCCCGGGCTGATTTGTAGTCCCAGTCCGCCCCTGGTAACCCTTGTTATATAAACACATAAACACAGGCGGAGCCCTCTACTCAGGGGCCCTGTCTGTCCTATGTTGCTTGGACAGACAAGACTGTCTCGTAGATGTCTTCACGGCTGGACTGTTAGCACACATGTGAATTTTGAGCACTTTTTGAACCGCCTGTGTTTATATAACAAGGGTTACCAAACGTAACCCCTCGTTTCTGTTATTATTTACATCAGCACATGGCCAAAGACATACAGAGATATAAAGTTCATAAAAGAATTGCGGTCCAAAGTGCTTCACAGTAGACTATTGACATCTCTTAAAATAGACACAGATATCACATAGAATACAGTTAGACAATAGACATAGAAGAACTAGAGGTTGAAAGGGCTTGTAGCTGATAAGGGAGTTCTTGCAGGCTTTATACGTCAGGAGGAGGACCATAAAGTAAATCCTGAAGTCAAAAGGAAGCCAGTGCAGAGCGGCTAAAACTGGACCCATCTGTTCTCTCTTCTTAGTTCTGGTTAACAGACGAGCTGCAGAGTTGGGATGTGTTATGACTGGTCTCACTTTAGCGATGTTTCTCAGGTGGAAGAAAGATGTTTTTGTCACATATGAGAGCTGAAGCTTAGATCTGACCTACAGACGTGACTCCTCCTGATAATGTCCTCTCCTTTGTGTTTCCTTTCCTTCAGATGGGAAGATGCAGGACCTCCCGAGTGTCTCCGGCTGCTCAGAGTTCATCATTGAAGCCGGACTCAGCGGAGGAGAGGAGGAAACAGCATGGCAGCACTCTCAGATCTTCAGGCAAAGCTTAAAGGAGACGGAGGAGCCTTCGTTTGAGATCCTCGTACACTTAGAAGATGCTTAACAGTTGTTTTTATGGATGGTATCTAAATGTGTGGGATGAGGGGTTTGTATCATGACAAAACAGTGCAATATTTACATGTGTGAGTCCTCCAGGATGAGTATATATGAATGGATGATTGGTAGATGAATGACAAGATCGCAGAGTAAAAACACTTTGACCAAATAACCTGTAAAACATGCAGTCCAGAAACACTGCATGTAAAGGGTTTTAAACATGTTATATTAGCCTTCACTATAAAAGTAATTTGTGATGCACGGAGTCAGAGGAGTTTTCATTTGATATTCTCGTCCACTTAGGAGATATTTAACAATTGTTTTGCTTCTTGTTGGGATAATAGATCTGTAGGGTGAGAAATTGGTGCAATATTTAAATGTGTGTAAGTCCAGGATGAGTAGATATGAATGAATGATTGACAGGATTTTGTACCTTTCACAGAGTAAAGTCACACATTAAACATTGATTTGACTAAAAGCAGAATAACCGATGACATATGTGGTCCGAAAACCCTGCAGATAAAGAGTTTTAAACGTAAGAAAAGCTGTAGTTTTTGTTAAATGTGCCTCCGTTTGTGATGCATGGAGACAAAGGAGTCTTCATTTGATATCCTCGTCCACTTAGAAGATATTTAAGAGTTGTTTTACTAATGTTAAACCTTATTGGGTGCTTAATTCGGAGCTAATTGCTGGGATGATCGATTTGTATAATGACAATTAAGTGAAATATTTAAAAGCGTGTCATCTTCCAGGGTGATTAATCCTGCATGGCTGATTGATAAATGAATGACCAGGTGAATTACATATTGAAGAGTAGGCTAAAGTCACATATTTTAAACATTGATTTGACTAGAGTTACCTATGAGACACGCAGTTAAAAATACACTGCATGTAATCATAAAAAGCCATAGTTTTGTCACATTGTCCTTCCCTGTAAAAGTCATCGGTGATGCATGGAGACATTCCCTAGACGCCAGATTTCCTGCTATTAATAAACTAATTATTGGTGTCATTTATGGCATTTTGGCATAGGCATGCCTACTTAAATCCATGTGTACTAATATAAACTGAGTGTTGTTGTTGTTGTGGAGGAAAGGGATGAATGTTGGGGAAATATATGATGGGATAATAAACATATTTTTAAAGTATTGTAGCTCTTTCAATGTATTTTTACAGCATGGATATACAAAGAGGTGGGAGAAGTACTCAGATCTTGTACTTGAGTAAAAGTACTCAGATCTTGTACTTGAGTAAAGTTAGAAGTACTCAGATCTTGTACTTGAGTAAAAGTAGAAGTACTCATATATGTTGTACTTGAGTAAAAGTAGAAGTAGGCCTACTCAGAATTTGTACTTGAGTAAAAGTGGAAGTACTCAGATCTTGTACTTGAGTAAAAGTGGAAGTACTCAGATCTTGTACTTGAGTAAAAGTAGAAGTACTCAGATCTTGTACTTGAGCCAAAGTAGAAGTACTCAGATCTTGTACTCGAGTAAAAGTAGTTTTTTCTCCCTTTATTTATTCAAGAACATATACATGAACATCATGTATTTCGTATACAAAAATATATCACATATGAAGTAATACAAAAGTACATTAAATGAATAAAAGACAGAATGTACAGTCTAATTTTTACGTGACACATTAGTGTCTTTGAATGATGAAGCGTTTGCCGCCATCTAGCGTTAAAGATGGCGATAACAGTGACTCACCGTTGTCTTTTCCTATTGGTCAAAAAAACAGTTACTCACTGTTGTGGTTTTCTATTGGTCGAAATACCGGCGCTTTTGAAAAAGCAGCCTCCTGATTGGTCGAGGTGAGACGATCCGCCGTCTATCCTGCAGATGGCCGGATAGCTTCTGCTAGCTTTTATTCTCATCTTTTTTTTACTTCTAAATGAAATGTATTTAAGTCTCGCCTTTTGACAGCGTTTCTGTTAAACTAGTATTTTATTCTGTTGATTTCCCACATGTTATTGTGAGTGTATTGTGTGTGTTTTGTACAGTATTTATTTGGTAGCAGCTAGCCCCGTTAGCATCTTTGTTGTGAGTTTAGGCCTCGCCGTTTCACCGGCTGTCGATTTTAACAATAGCCGGAAAACACCCCCCTCTCCTCGGCTTGTTTTCATCACATTTCAAGGGATTATCTCTCAAACAAACATGGAGGATAAACAGGTCTGGATGCCTTTCAGCAACTGAGACGGTTTGTTATGCTGGAGGATATTTAATTTCACCTGGAATTGAAGATATTTTTTGAGAAGAGGATCATATTTTAGGATCACAAAGAAAAGATGTCTAACGGCGCAGGATGGCTGGTAAGTTAGTTTATTTCACTACTAAAACATGCACTTATTTACAGTTTAAATCAGCTAAACAATGCTTTTTATTATGCTTTATTTAGATTATGAAAAGACCCAATAATTTACAGTTTATACATCTAAATTGTGCCGTTTATTATGCATAATTTAGATTATAAAAAATGCATTAACCTACAGCTTAAATCGTCTAAATTGTGCTTTTTATTATGCTTGATTTAGACTATAATCCATGCATTTACTTCCAGTTTTATTCATCTAAATTGTGCTTTTGTAAGGCTTTATTAACCTTAGCAAAGTGCAGCGGCTTTAAATGGCATTTAAATCCCCTTCGAGTCAGTCTTACTCGTATATTGTTATAATTACTGGCTTTTGGACTCATTTCATAACAATATAAACCATATTATTGTATTATAATCCATGCATTAATGTGTTCTTTACTTTAATATTGCAGCTGTTTAAAAAGGGGCACTAAGTTAGTCTGTACCACAACTAAAACATGCATTTACTTACAGTTGTATTTTAACTGTGCATTAATAACGCATACAACTGCTGTGTTAACCTTAGCTAAGTGCACCAGCTTTAAGTGGTATTTAAATGTCCTTTAAAGACCACCAGCTGGGGTTTAAAGGCCTGATGCCTTCACGGATTTTCTCTAAAAGAACAACAAAGATGAAGAAGCCATAACTTCCTGTTTCTCGAGTCCACAGTTTACTTCCTCAAAACAAGAGACAGAGCAAAACGAAACTAAGAATTTAACTTAAAAATATCCTTTTTCCTTCATAAAGTAAATACACAATCCAACTTAACTCACTACAGCTACTAAGTGCATTGTTTATTACAGTATAAATACAACAGTTGGACTATTATAACGTGTTTTACTCATGCAACGAAGTACTAAGACCCTTTGCTTGAGTATAAGTAGTAATAAAACATTTAGTAAAACAGTTATTTTTAATGACCCAGAAGCAGACAACAACATATATGTTCTCTGGCATTGTTTTTAATTTGTGTTCAAATAAGAAATAGTGCAGAAATACTCTTTACTCTGCAACAAATGTCCTGGTTTAAACATCAGATTTAACCTAAAGTACCCATTTTGCAAAACAGCCCATTTCATAATAACATAAACCATATTATTGTATTATCATTATGATGCATTAATGTGTTCATTACTTTAATCCCACAGCTGGTAAAGTATAAGCTTATTTCTTATATATCTATACATGCTGCTGAGACGTTGTTATTTTTAAGCTATGGATCAATATAGTCGATTTTAACCTATAATAACACACGATAAGTAGATTTGTTGTGTTATTGATATAAATCTGAAGCTTTAAAGCAGCGGTGTCAAACTCAAATACACAGTGGGCCAACATTTAAAAATGGGTACTAGTCGAGGGCCGGACTAGTTCAATGTTTATTGCAGAACTTATTGAAATGAACTTATTGCACATATTAAACCTGGAACTAGCAAAGCTTAAATGATTGCCTATAAAAACAACATGAAACATTAAATAATCAGTTGCATTCATTTCTTATGGCTCCATCTGCAGCTTTTCCAGAGTCATTTCTTATGATTACATTTCTCCACAGGCCAACAACAGCTTCAAAAAAACTATTTCCCTCAAAGAACAAACCAAACATGCCCTGTTGTCGTGAGAGAAAAAGTGCAGAAGGAAACATCCATGTAAACTCAGTGTGCTGCTCTGTGATGCTAGTTCAAGCCAGATACTTGGCATCTCCTCTTGGGTGCAAGTTCATCAATGTTTGGAGTCAGGCTCTGAGCGGAGGAAACCCTCAGGATGGAGTGAAGGTGTGTGTGCAATATACCGGCGGGCCAGATCTAATAGTAATTAGAAATTATCCTGCGGGCCGAAATTAAATCCGCCAAGGGCCTGATTTGGCCCCCGGGCCTTGAGTTTGACACATGTGCTTTAAAGTAACCAAAGTAATGACATTCATGTATTTGAGTACATTTAGACCCTAGCAGGAAATGGAAGAACTGTAATAGCACTAAAAGTAACCCTAACCCTAAACCCTATTAATAGTTATTTGATTTAATCAACAGATCTGTTTTACTGACATTCCCCACACAGAATAATGCAAGCACACTTCTTTAAATCTTGTGTTTAAAAGAAATGTAATCATACGTTCCTTCAAAATAACACATTCAGCATTAAAAACGTATATAAAACTGCTTATAATCTATAAGAACAAAACCACTAATTAGTCGACCAATAGGAGCTGCTCTGGATCATTCATATAATAACCTTTAAATATAACCAAAACCACACTTTATAAGACGTTTTATATTTAACTTTCCCTAATATTACTGTATTTTGGAGCACAGAGGCGAAAGATAATGTCAGTATAAACTAAACATGAGTTTTCCAATCACCGTATAACGACCAGTAGTTTTGTTTTTGTTGATTATGTGTCACTAAAACCACAGACGCTGATATCTGCTGCTGGTTTTCACTTAGTTATGTGTGAATAATAACAGATGGCAAGAGTACACACATCCTTTCCTCAAGTAGAAGTACAGATACTCGTGTTTAAAAATACTCTGGTAAAAGTAGAAGTACTGACTAAACTTCTTTACTCAAGTAAAAGTAAAGAGGCTTTGAAATGTACTTCAGTAAAAAGTACCCATAACTAGCAGCTGTTTTAAAGAGTACCTGACCTCCCTTTATATTAATAGAACAATAATGTCATTGTTAGCTAATGAATGTTTCCATGCTGAACAACGGCAACATGACAACGTTTTCATTGGTCCCTCTTCTTTAGAGAAGACCAGGAAATGATGGATACACGGATCGTGTTCAAATCAATAGGCACGCAATGACTCTAAATAATAATGATCACGCCACCAAACACACATTCAAACTAAAGGAACCAGCCTGTTTGGGAAATGTGAGAAGTAGAAAGTACAGGTATTTGTGTTCAACATGTAAGAAGTAAAAAGTACAGGTATTTGAGTTCAACATGTAAGAAGTAGAAAGTACAGGTATTTGTGTTCAAAATGTAAGAAGTAGAAAGTACAGGTATTTGGGTTCAACATGTAAGAAGTAGAAAGTACAGGTATTTGTGTTCAACATGTAAGAAGTAGAAAGTACAGGTATTTGAGTTCAACATGTAAGAAGTAGAAAGTACAGGTATTTGTGTTCAAAATGTAAGAAGTAGAAAGTACAGGTATTTGGGTTCAAAATGTAAGAAGTAGAAAGTACAGGTATTTGTGTTCAAAATGTAAGAAGTAGAAAGTACAGGTATTTGTGTTCAACATGTAAGAAGTAGAAAGTACAGGTATTTGTGTTCAACATGTAAGAAGTAGAAAGTACAGGTATTTGTGTTCAACATGTAAGAAGTAGAAAGTACAGGTATTTGTGTTCAAAATGTAAGAAGTCAAAGTAAAAAGTCGTCAGGAAAATAAGTAGTGGAGTAAAGTACTGATACCAGAAACATGTACTTAAGTACAGTAATAAAATATTTGTACTCCACTACTACTCTGATAATAACAATATCTCTGTCTACAGGAGTCTGCGAATGGCAAAGGGGATTCTGCAAAGATGGACACTCCCAAGAAGTCGAGCTCCAAGCTTTCTGTGGAGCGAGTTTATCAGAAGAAGACGCAGCTGGAGCACATCCTCCTCCGCCCGGACACCTACGTGGGCACCGTGGAGCCCATCACCCAGGTGAGACCTCCACTAACTCACCTGGGAGAGACTGATGACAAGCCTGCGTTAATTAGCATTATATGTGGACAGGGTCCAAAATGACTGTTTTTAGGGGGATGGTCTGTTTGCCAGCTCAAAGAGACCTGTTGTGAACCTGGAAATGTTGAATACCCCAAAGTTTAACGATAGAAATGTTAGTAGACCGGTCTAAACTGAAATAGGCTATTTTATACTATTCATCCTGTATGAATACAATTTAACTGGCCACAGAAATACGAATACAAGGGGAAAGAAAGTCAACAAAAGGGAAAGGTGATATACTTACCTCTGATTCTTCTGCAGAGGATTATTCATGGTTTTTGTTGTATGTGTTAAATGTTTATTCAGTAAATAGCCGGCTGTTCGATCCAAACCACCTGGCTACAAATTGTCCTCAGAACATAGAAACTGCCGGATGCTAACCTGCATATGTTGGGCAATTTGCACAATTACCATAAGTTGCGTTAATTAGCATTATAGCCTCTGTGGACAGAAAGTGGGCATATTTGTAATCCCAGTGAGCTGATTTTGACGTTTTAAATGAGTCTGGATCATTTGGATTGGACATATTGATTATTTCTATGAGCATAAATTGTCCACAGTAGAGGCAATCATTTTTTATCTTGTGCTCTCGTCGCACCACTGCTCACGGTGGCCAAAATCAGGCAATTGAGAGAACAGATATGGTCACTTTCTGGTAAAAACTGCTATTGTTGAAACATTTCAGAAATGGACTCAGCCTCCTCTCCAAACCCCTCCAAGTATCAGATGGTGATTACTCAGTATTGACAATGGCAGTCATACCGTTTCATACAGTACACTAGTATGATGTCTGTTAAACCTGTATCATGTTGTAGTAATACTCCTATATCAAGTTATATTCTGTATCCTCCAGTATAGTTTTAATACGTTACCTTTTGATGAAATATGACGGAAAATAATTAACTTTTTCTGGAAGATTTTAGCGGGTACATTGAAAATTGAACTTCACAATATATTTGTATTACATGTTAAGCACTTTGAGTGATTATCAATGTCTGGTTTCTTTAAGGAACATTTGTATTTGTCTTTCTTAGATAGTGTCAAATGAAATTATAACCAATTTATTACTGATAGAACTTGTTAGTAATCTTACACTCGTGATTTTTTAAACTATTGTTTATTTGATTTAATCAACAGACACTCTCCACACAGAATAATGCTGTTCCTATCAAGCCACCCTACTTACTGATGTGATGAATCTTCTCTTTCTTTCCTTTCTCCAGCAAATGTGGGTTTTTGATGAAGAAATAGGAATGAACCAGAGGGAGATCACCTTTGTCCCGGGGCTGTACAAAATCTTTGATGAAATCCTGGGTGAGTGGATCCTCTTCTTCCCATCCTCTTCCTCTTCTCCGCTGGCTAACATTAAGCTGCTGAGATATTGAAGGCTTATTAATATGTCGGAGATAATGTCATCACACTGATCCAGCTGTGTGTGGAGATTAGCTTCTCTACGAACGTTTATGAATAAATTAAACGTTGACGGAGAAGTGATTTCAGTGTCAAAGCTGCCGTCTGATTTATTTTACAACGATGAATTGAAAGCGTGAACAGTCAAGGTTCCTCAGATAAATACAGGTGGATAGAGCACTTTATTCTGAAGGTACAATGTTGGAGTAAAGAACAGATTTAAACATATATTTTAGCCTGTGTGTTTATAAAGGTGTTTACATAATGACATTTGTATTGTTTGTATATTATTGCTGCTCTGTCCTGTGTCTTTGCACAAGAGTATCCCTCTTAGCTTAAATACACTTTTCCTTATGTGTGAAATACGTTTTTTTAACTGTATCATTGAAGTGAGTCTTAGTTTTTGTACTTATTCGTTTATGTGTCAGAGAAGATGCAAAAATCAGTGTTTCAGGTGACCAAAAAAGGACAAAGATTCTAGCTGAGGCTAATTCCAATCAATCAATCAATTAATCAATCAGTGCTGTTCCCTCTCCTGTAGTGTGTTATACAGGTTTTAGTGCATGTAAATGGTCAGACTTTTTCTCAAAATATCAAAATACTGACTTTTTCTCAAAATATCAAAATTCTGACATTTTCTCAAAATTCTGACATTTTCTCAAAATTCTGACATTTTCTCAAAATGCTGACATTTTCTCAAAATTCTGACATTTTCTCAAAATTCTGACTTTTTCTTAAAATTCTGACTTTTTCTCAAAATTCTGACTTTTTCTCAAAATTTCGAACTTTTGCTCAAAATTCTGACTTTTTCTCAAAATCTCAATATTCTGACATTTTCTCAAAATTCGAACTTTTTCTCAAAATTCTGACTTTTTCTCAAAATTCTGACCTTTTCTCAAAATTCTGACCTTTTCTCAAAATTCTGACTTTTTCTCAAAATCTCAAAATACGGACATTTTCTCAAAATTTCGAACTTTTGCTCAAAATTCTGACTTTTTCTCAAAATCTCAATATTCTGACCTTTTCTCAAAATTCTGACTTTTTCTCCTGTAGTGTGTTATACAGGTTTTAGTGCATGTAAATGGTCTGCAGAGGCTAAAATCCCTGTATAATCTGACGTCACCTCCATGATCTGTGGTTCATTTTTATTTGTTGTTTTTGTTGACAGTCAACGCAGCAGACAACAAACAGAGAGACAAGAACATGACGGGCATTAAGATCACCATTGACGCGTGAGTATATATTCAATATAGTTACCATAAAGTATTTTGTACTGTGAATATACTGTATATCCCACACATTTAGATTAAAATGTATTTATTCCTTGCCCTATTACCTGCTTTTTTAGAAGTCTTCGTCTAACTATTGGAAGTTAAAGTAAGAATTTCCCATAAAAAGTTTAAATATAATCAACAAAATGTTTACAATCAAAATAAATGTAACTAACAACGTGGAATAAAAGGATAAAACGAATAAAAACAACTATAATGTTAAGTACAATTACCGATACAAGATAACACAAAAAATAAATATGAACATAAAAAAATATATTCAGTGTGCAATTAAAACATTAAAGGGGACCTATCATGCAAAATGCACTTTGTGATGTCTTTTCTACATAAATATGTGTCCCCGGTGTGTCGGTAATATCTGAAATGTGGACCCACGGCCCTATCAGAAACGTTGCTATCAGAAACAATGCCCGACTGTTTTGGACGTAATATGGTCGGTGTTTACATTAGCATCGCTAACACTCAGAGCTAACCTGTACTGGAGAGCATGTGTGTGAAGAAGCAGGAAATAAAAAGGAACTCACCTTGTGGTATAACCGGCACGAGAGAAAGCCTTTGAGCTCCATACTGTTTCAGAAACAATCCTTGATAATCCATGATATGGCGTTTCATCACGGCAGTTTTTAGTTTAGGCAGTAGCTGCCGGGTCCCGCATGAGCTCAGACCCCTCCTTTTTTATTTTATCAATTTTGTTTGTATAAAGCTTTATTCCCCAAATCAACACTTTTGAAACAGGAAGTGAAATGGAGGGATATGAGGCATGGCTGGAATGGTTTTTGAGCAAAACACTTCATAGACATGTTTTGTATATATCTGAGACCTATGCTATTGCCTAAAAACAGCATGATAGGTGACCTTTAACTTATGTTCATATCCATATTTATTTTCCATGCACAAAAATACATTTAATTCTCAAAAACAGAAGAGATGATTAATGCCAGATTTGAGCTAATTTGTTCATTTCTATTTGCATATTAATAATAATACATTTGATTTATATTAATATTGGTTATTTATTTATTTTTAAATGTTTTTATTTCTAAAATTGAGCAAAATTTCCCTCAGATGAAATAAACTCTTCTGAACCTTAAATTTACAATTTAATTCACAAACTAAGGCTTAAGGGTTATGGCAAAAATGATAACCCTTATTAATTTTTATCGATATTGAAATAACATCAAGAATAATTACTGATTTTAAGGACAGAATATTTTAGTTGCACTTCATATTCCCTCTACGTTGGGATGCATTTCTGCTAAACTACTAAACCGTTGCATTGAAATTAGACTTTCTTCATTCTCCTTCTCCCCCAGTGAGTCCAACACCATCTCGGTGTGGAACAACGGTAAGGGGATCCCGGTGGTGGAGCACAAAGACGAGAAGATGTACGTTCCTGCGCTCATCTTCGGACAATTACTCACCTCCAGCAACTACGACGACGACGAGAAGAAGGTCACAGGTGAGGAGAGGAAGAAGACACCTTGACGTCTGTACCTGGGTATATTAAAGGTCACCTATTATGCAAAATCCTCTTCTTCATGTCTCTTCTACATCAACATGTGTCCCCTCTTCTTCATGTCTCTTCTACATCAACACGTGTCCCCTCTTCTTCATGTCTCTTCTACATCAACATGTGTCCCCTCTTCTTCATGTCTCTTCTACATCAACATGTGTCCCCTCTTCTTCATGTCTCTTCTACATCAACATGTGTCCCCTCTTCTTCATGTCTCTTCTACATCAACATGTGTCCCCTCTTCTTCATGTCTCTTCTACATCAACATGTGTCCCCTCTTCTTCATGTCTCTTCTACATCAACATGTGTCCCCTCTTCTTCATGTCTCTTCTACATCAACATGTGTCCCCTCTTCTTCATGTCTCTTCTACATCAACATGTGTCCCCTCTTCTTCATGTCTCTTCTTCATCAACATGTGTCCCCTCTTCTTCATGTCTCTTCTACATCAACATGTGTCCCCTCTTCTTCATGTCTCTTCTACATCAACATGTGTCCCCTCTTCTTCATGTCTCTTCTTCATCAACATGTGTCCCCTCTTCTTCATGTCTCTTCTACATCAACATGTGTCCCCTCTTCTTCATGTCTCTTCTACATCAACATGTGTCCCCTCTTCTTCATGTCTCTTCTACATCAACATGTGTCCCCTCTTCTTCATGTCTCTTCTACATCAACATGTGTCCCCTCTTCTTCATGTCTCTTCTACATCAACATGTGTCCCCTCTTCTTCATGTCTCTTCTACATCAACATGTGTCCCCTCTGTGTAAAGAGACTCTGAAAGTTTCAGGAACAAATATTCTCTCTCTTTTTGTCCTGATCCATTTGTATAAAAACCTGTCTGAAAATGAGCTGATCAGATGTTGGCCACTTTATGATGTCATAACGATGGTCAGACTTTTTCTAAAAATCTCAAAATTCTTACTTTTTCTCAAAATCTCAATATTCTGACATTCTCTCAATATTCTGACATTTTCTCAATATTCTGACATTTTCTAATCTTTTTTGACTTTTCCTCAAATTTTTTGACTTTTCCTCAAAATGTTGATTCTTTTTCAAAAAATCTCAAACAGCTGAATTTTTCTCAAAATCTCAATATTCTGACATTTTCTAAAAATTCTGACTTGTTCCAATCAGAGACAGGCTCTGGATATATCTGATACCTGTGATATATTGATGAAACACAGTATAATAGGGGACCTTTAATGTGTGTTCAGGAAGGGGAATATTAATATGTTTCTTCGCAGGTGGAAGGAACGGATACGGAGCTAAACTCTGTAACATCTTCAGCACCAAATTCACTGTGGAGACGGCCTGCAAAGAGTACCGGCACAGCTTCAAACAGGTCAGCATGGGATCAATAAAGTATATATATATATCTATCTATCAGGCTTTATAGATTAATATAGAGGTACCACCAAACAGTAATATACGTTTCTCAGCTGTTCAGAGTCAGTAAACAAAATGCTGATTTTTAGGTGAAGAATACGATGATTTTTCTCATAATCGTTGATTTGATCCACACATTTACTCCTGTAGGAGAAAAAGAGATATGTTCTTGTGTTCAGTCGTCATCCATAGCTGGGTAAGTCCTTCTGTGCGACATATTTTCTGTAAATGACCGGTCTTAGTCAACAGCTGGTAAAATAAACAAAAATGTCACTGCACATTAATTGCTGTGGGTGTAAAATAACTTACATTTTTCAACACTAATTTAACACTTGAGAATCATTTTGGTTAATTAATGTGTAATAACTACATTTCCTGCTGCTGTGGTAAAGAAAAGGGCCCAATTTGGGATGTTTAAAGTCAATCTAATCCAATAAAATCTTTGAATAAAGTAATAATTACTGTGTTATAGGGCTTTGACATGTGGTCTTATCTGAGGTAAGGATCAGTGCATTATCACTCTTTGTGGTTCTGGGTGCTATTGAAAGTCACTGGGTGTTTAAATCATGGATATTTTAGGCAATAAATGCACTATTATACATCCTAGTCTACTTAAAGTACCCCAAAGTTTTATATTAGAAATGTATAAGCATACGTTGCATTAATAAGCAATAATTACAGGGTGTCCGCGGGGTCTTAAAAAGTATTCAAAGTTGATAAATCAATTTAGCGAAAATGAAGGCTATTAAAAAGTATTAAAGGGAATTTTCCAAGGTATTCCATTTTGTAGCTAGTTTTCAATAAGTATATAAATTGTCCAAAGAGGTTGTATTCTACAGTGTGCCTGAATGTAATCATTGCGTAGGTGTGTAGTGTGATTCTGTGTAGTTTATTTATGGCATCCCGTTGGATTTGACGTCAACTGAACAGGACATCGCACGCTCACTGCTTGATAGCGCGCAGGTCCGTTTACACCGGTTGTTAAACAACATCGTTATGGGAAAATGCAAGTCTGCGTCCAAATGGTTGGAAGATAAGGAGGAAGGACAATCAATACTGTATATAGTCAATGTGAGGTAAAGTGTGTCGCCAAGGTAACCGGTTAAAACTCCAAGTGGCGATGAGGTCTTAAAATGTATGGAAAGGGTCTTAAAAAAGGTCTTAAAAGGTATTACATGTGACTTCAGGATTCCTGCATATACCCTGAATTAGCATTATACAATATGTAGACAACAGCTATTGGCCTTTTTGGACACATTTGTACTGGTTTTGGATGTTATTGAGGCCATTTCTGACATTTTCAGCATCAACAATAGCAGTTTTAACCAATAAGTGGCCATATCTGTACTCCCAATTGGCTGATTTGGCTACCATGAGCAGTGTTGCGACAAGAGCACAAGATAAAAAATGATTGCTTCTACTGTGGTCAATTTATGCTCATATAAATAAGCAATATGTCCAATCCAAATGATCCAGAGTAATTTAAAACATACTACAAATTAACCAATATCAGCCAAACAAGGGTACAAATATGCCCACTTTCCTGTATAAACAGTTATTTTGGATCCTGTCAACACAAGCTATAATGCTAATTAACGCAACTTGTGCTAATTGTGCTAAATTACCTAACATATGCCAGTTAGCATCCGGCAGTTTCTATGTCCTGGGGACTCGTACTATACATTTCTATCATTAAACTTTGGGGTATTCAACATTCCAGAGTTCACAACATGACTCTATGACCTGTACACAAAATTGAATGGATATTGTTAGAAAAATCAACTAGTTCCTGAACAGTGTCCTTCACATGCTGATATACAAGAGAGGGAGTTACACACTCAATATTCTGACATTTTCTCAATATTCTGACATTTTCTCAATATTCTGACATTTTCTAAAAAATTCTGACTTTTAAAAAAAAATCTGTCTTTTTCTCAAAATTCTGACTTTTTCTCAAAATCTCAAAATTCTGACTTTTTCTCAATATTCTGACATTTTCTCAATATTCTGACATTTTCTAAAAAAGTCTGACTTTTTCTAAAAAAGTCTGACTTTTTCTAAAAATTCTGTCTTTTTCTCAAAATTCTGACTTTTTCTCAAAATCAAAAAATTCTGACTTTTTCTCAAAATCAAAAAATTCTGACTTTTTCTCAAAATCTCAATAATCGGATTGTTTGTGTGTGTGTGTGTGTGTGTTACCATGTTGTCTTGTTTTTCCCTGGTCAGACGTGGCTGAACAACATGTCAAAAACCTCGGAGCCTAAGATCAAGTTCTTCGACGGAGAGGACTTCACGATCGTGACGTTCCAGCCCGACCTGTCCAAGTTCCAGATGGAGAAACTGGACAAAGACATCGTGGCTCTTCTGACCCGCCGAGCGTACGACATCGCAGGGTCCTGCCGGGGCATCAAGGTCACGCTCAACGGGAAGAAACTGCCCGTAAGTCATTCTGCTGTTTCTGCTGCATTACTAGCTTTGAAGTGTGTGCTGAGGGTTGACTTATATTTGATTTTGAGCGCTGGTAGTTTTGTGGATTTAATATCATTACATTGTTCGTTATGATGGAGTAAATACTCAGAAATCTTGACAGGTTGTAATTTAGGTCTTCTGATGATAAGCAGAAAAAGTTATTTCTTATTCAGCGATTTCTGTCCATTTTTGGGAATGATATTGTTACAATGGCTAAAACAGTTTTATATTACTTCATTTAGCAGGGACAGTGCACATTATTACACATACTCATTCATCTATAGTCCCTGGCCAGATCTTGTCGAGCAGGGGTGCCCACACTTTTTCAGCTTGGGAGCTATTTTTAAAATGACCAAGTCAAAATGATCTACCTATATAAAAAATGCTGACGAGTTCAGGTGAAACAGCGTTGCAATTTTCGACTGGTTCGAGTAAAGCAAAGTCTTGAAAGCGTTTGTCAAACTCTGACACCATTTTCTTTTTCAATGCCACGGGATCTACCCACAAACAGCTTTATTTGGTTCAGTTTATTCTGTTGGTTGTAACCTGAACTCTTATCCACATAGAAATTAAACAACAATGAATGTGAAATCGCTCCTTTTGCAATAGAGACAACAAGTTGATAATGTTGTATTTAATTGATATGTTATAATAGTCATGAAGTTACAGAATAATTACACACTATATTTCAATCAGGAGAGACGGTTTTGATGTAATAATACATATTTATTGCGCAGATGCACAAATGAATGCAATGGTAATTTTGGCGATTAGGACCCGTTGTGCAGGAAGTATCATTCGGGAGGGTAGAACCGATCCGATGAAACCCCCCTGGGGTCTAGACACTGGTGGTGGTGAATGGATAGTTGGGTCGGTCTGAAGAGGAGGGGCTTAGCGTGACCCTGGATTCAGAGGGACAGGAGGTGAAAAGCGGTGGAGGAGGGTTGAGCCGATTCACCTGGAATGAGAGCTGTCAGAGGGGGAAGAGCAGATTTAAAAGGTTTGACGGAGCGCTATGATAGGCTCTTGGGAATAGAGCGAAGTGATTGGTTAAGCTGAAGAGTGACGCCTCCGGTCACTTATTGAGAGGAGAGAGAGTAATAACATGGGAATAGAGATACATGAATGAGTAGAGACGGTCTTCCTGGTTGAACTTGCGCTGAGCTTCATTAATATTGAGTTGTTAGAGATACAAGGATATGTGATGCTCCTGAGCATTTTGGGTGTTAAATATGCACATATATTGTATGTTTAATTGAATATTCTTCCAGTTATCTGCATGTTTGTGGTTTTGCATAATTGTACACATGGTTAGAGATATCCCTTTAGTCTTTTTTTTAGGGTTTTAGTGTCTTTTAGTTTTAATATTTATAACAATGAAGTTGTATATACCAGCTGCACTCCATCATATCAGACATTGCAAGGATTATTTTAGATATATTTACTTTTTTTTAATAAAAAAATGGATGCATTTTATTTGTATTTATTATATAAAATCTGTTTTGTATGACAATTATTCTGCAGCTGTGGTCCGTGGCCTTACAGGGTTAGGGTTAGATTGTTTTAGTTTTATTTACAGGTTAATATTACCCATTAACCCTGTGTGTGTGTGTGTGTGTGTGTGTGTGTGTGTGTGTGTGTGTGTGTGTGTGTGTGTGTGTGTGTGTGTGTGTGTGTGTGTGTGTGTGTGTGTGTGTGGTGTGTGTGTGTGTGTGTGTGTGTGTGTGTGTGTGTGTGTGTGTGTGTGTGTGTGTGTGTGTGTGTGTGTGTGTGTGTGTGTGTGTGTGTGTGTGTGTGTGTGTGTGTGTGTGTGTGTGTGTGTGTGTGTGTGTGTGTGTGTGTGTGTGTGTGTGTGTGTGTGTGTGTGTGTGTGTGTTTCTCGCTGCAGATCACTGGTTTCCGCAGCTACGTGGATCTGTACGTGAAGGACAAAGTAGACGAGATGGGCGTTGCTCTGAAGGTTGTGAACGAGAAGGTGAACGACCGCTGGGAGGTTTGTCTCACGCTCAGTGAAAAAGGATTCCAGCAGATCGGCTTCGTCAACTGCATCGCCACCACCAAGGTACTGGGAACACACACTGAAGACTACTGGGAACACACACTAGAGACTACTGGGAACACACACTAGAGACTACTGGGAACACACACTGAAGACTACTGGGAACACACACTATAGACTACTGGGAACACACACTGAAGACTACTGGGAACACACACTAGAGACTACTGGGAACACACACTGAAGACTACTAGGAACACACACTGAAGACTACTGGGAACACACACTAGAGACTACTGGGAACACACACTAGAGACTACTGGGAACACACACTAGAGACTACTGGGAACACACACTGAAGACTACTGGAAACACACACTGGAGACTACTGGGAACACACACTAGAGACTACTGGGAACACACACTGAAGACTACTGGGAACACACACTGAAGACTACTAGAGACACACACTGAAGACTACTGGGAACACACACTGGAGACTACTGGGAACACACACTGAAAACTACTGGGAACACACACTGAAAACTACTGGGAACACACACTGAAGACTACTGGGAACACACACTGAAGAATACTGGGAACACACACTGAAGACTACTGGGAACACACACTGAAGACTACTGGAAACACACACTGAAGACTACTGGGAACACACACTGAAGAATACTGGGAACACACACTAGAGACTACTGGGAACACACACTGAAGACTACTGGAAACACACACTGAAGACTACTGGGAACACACACTGGAGACTACTGGGAACATACACTGAAGACTACTGGGAACACACACTAAAGAATACTGGGAACACACACTGAAGAATACTGGGAACACACACTGAAGACTACTGGGAACACACACTGAAAACTACTGGGAACACACACTGAAGACTACTGGGAACACACACTGAAGACTACTAGAGACACACACTGAAGACTACTGGGAACACACACTGGAGACTACTGGGAACACACACTGAAAACTACTGGGAACACACACTGAAAACTACTGGGAACACACACTATAGACTACTGGGAACACACACTGAAGACTACTGGGAACACACTAGAGACTACTAGAGACACACTCTATAGAGACTAGAGACACACTCTATAGAGACTAGAGACACTCTTGAGGCTACTGGGAGACATTTCATAATTTGCTATGATTTCTGGTTTTTAATTTTTTTAATCATGTTTTTTTTAAATGGACACAACGATAGATTCCAGATATATTTATTTTGAAAATCAAATCCATTTATTTTTTATAGCTAATTTAGTTTATATGTAAATGGTTAGAACAATAGGGGTAGTGGTGGTCTAATGGATAGTGAGGTGGGCTGATGATCGGAAGGTTGTGAGTTCAAATCCTGCCAGGAACACCACCACCAGTGTGCCCTTGAGTAAGGCACTTAGCCCTTAGTTACTCCAGGGAGGATGTCCCTGTAATTGGTCATTGTAAGTCGCTTTGGATAAAAGCGTCAGCTAAATAAAATGTAATGTAACAAAAATAAAAATGATAATGTACATTTATATATCATTATAGATCAATTAAACTAAATCGTATGAAATTTAAAAAATAATAAAATAATATTTTTTTTTTTTTTTATTATAGGAAATTAATTTAAATTACATTATTCGAAATTAATAAAAAATATATAATACAATTAAATGACTATGAAATAAAGCATCCGAGAGGACGTTTATTGCAAGCCTGATCCAGCCCTAACTATAAGCCTATTCCTAAATATTATAATATGTTTTATTATAATGTAAATGTATATACAATTAGATAAATAAAACAAAAATTACAAAAAATGTATTAAATAAAACTATATGAAATTAAATTATGTAAAATAAATATTAAAAAGATATTAAAATTAAATGACAATGAAATAAAGCATCCGAGAGGAAGTTTATTGCAAGCCTGATCCAGCCCTTACTATAAGCCTACTTTTAACTATCAAATCCTGTCCTGTTATAATTGTCATTATAAGTACAATGCTTTGTCATTATGGTCGTGCCAATAAAGCTATTTAACATTTGAATTTCTTATTCCAGGGCGGCAGACACATCGATTATGTTGTGGATCAGATCGTCCATAAACTGATTGAAGTGGTGAAGAAGAAGAACAAAGCGGGCGTCACGGTGAAGCCTTTCCAGGTACGATTAAAGAACTGTTTAAAAAATCTCACTCGTCACCGGCTTGATCTTCAATCTCAGGATCCATGTATTCCTGATCCTCTCCAGAATGGAAGTAGTCATCACATACAGAGCATCAACTAGTTCCTGAACAGTGTCCTTCATGCTGATATCCAAGAGAGGGAGTTACGGCCCCTACACATTTATTATTAAATTATGACTTTTTCTCAAAAATATGAAAAATTATGACTTTCCTCAAAATCTCAACATTATGAATTTTTCTCAAAAATCGGACATTTTCTCAAAAATCTGAATTTTTTCTCAAAAATCTGAATTTCTTTCTCAAAAATCGGACTTTTTTTCTCAAAAATCGGACTTTTTTTCTCAAAAATCGGACATTTTTTCTCAAAAATCGGACTTTTTCTCAAAATCAGAAAATTATGACTTTTTCTCAAAATCTCACCATTATGAATTTTTCTCAAAATCTGAAAATTATGACTTTTTCTCAAAAATCTGAAAATTATGACTTTTTCTCAAAATCAGAAAATTATGACTTTTTCTCAAATCTGAAAATTATGACTTTTTCTCAAAATCTGAAAATTATTAATTTTTCTCAAAATCAGAAAATTATGACTTTTTCTCAAAATCAGAAAATTATGACTTTTTCTCAAAATCAGAAAATTATGACTTTTTCTCAAATCTGAAAAATCTGACTTTTTCTCAAAATCTGAACATTCTGACTTTCTGAATACTTAAAAATGTTAATAATCACTCGTCCCCGGCTTGATCTTCAATCTCAGGATCCATGTATTTGTGATCCTCTCCAGAATGGAAGTAGTCATCACATACAGAGCATCAACTAGTTCCTGAACAGTGTCCTTCACATGCTGATATCCAAGAGAGGGAGTTACACAGTCACAAGATGGAGGAATAGAAAGCAGTATTCAATGTTTACTTCAGATTAGCTCCACGTCAGAAATGAGCATGCTTGTCATATGTCTATCTCCATAGAGGCTGAATCATCATGTTAATCACATAGCTATCATATGCCTCAAACAGTCCTGATGCTGTTCTAGGTAATCACACATCCTGTCATGAACACAGCTACAGTTGGGATACCTTTGTTATCATGTTACTCTCATGTTGGAGGAGGACATTCAGGATTTTCCCAAGAGCAACATTTCAGTAACTAAAGTTCACTGTAGTGGTTTTATTGTATTGAATTTCCCTTGTATTTGTGCCTCAGGTGAAGAACCACATCTGGGTGTTTGTGAACGCGCTGATCGAGAACCCCAGCTTCGATTCTCAGACGAAGGAAAACATGACGCTGCAAACCAAAAGCTTCGGGTCCAAATGCGTCATGTCAGAGAAGTTCGTCAAAGCTGTAAGGAAACATCCATCTTTTAACACCTCACTCTGTTTATGTTGTGTAAAATAGTCCTGCAAAGCCTCATACACACACCCTCCATCTTAGACTGCACCTTGGCCATTAAAACTAAAACAAACGACGCGAATGGTTGAATTTTTTACAGCAAGGTTGAGCCTATTTGAAGCTAATGTTCCTGCATATTATGTAAATGTAAAGGCTAAATTGCAAAATGGACGAGTGGGTTATTCAGATCAGATTGTAAAGGCTACATTTGTGTCGTAATGCTATTCTGAATGAAGCCTTGTTGAGCTGCGGAGATATCAGAAGCTATAAATCCTAATCAACTAACTTCAGATCAAATCCTTGTCCACCTCAAATTCGTTTTATGTTTTAAAAACCTGTGCAGCTCTTGTAAATGTAAATATTGTGGGTTATCAGTGGTTTTAAGGATCTTTGTGTGTTTTCGTCACACAGGCTCACTCCAATGCTACACATTTAATCAAAGTCAAAGTCAACTTTAATGTCAATCTTACTCAGTTTGTGTTTACAGACCGAGAGATCGCAATGACGTTTCCAACAATCCCAAATGTAAAATTATACAGTATACAGATATGTATAAAATATGTATAAAATATGTATATCCTATATACACAATCAACAGACACATTTACACATATGCACACATTAAAGGTGGGGTAGGTAAGTTTGAGAAACCGGCTCGAGATACACTTTTTGTTATATTCCATGGAATGCTCTTAACATCCCGATAGCAATTCATATCTGAAGTGCTTTGACAAAAAATCCATAAAAAAATGTCATCTGTGGAAGCTGTAGTACTGTAAAAAGCACGACCAATCATTTTAGCCGGCCCGGCTAAAATAACTGGATGGCCTACCTGCCTGTCAGCCTTCCATCTGTGCACAAACTTATCTCGTGCCCTCATTGGTCATGTGCGCGTTCGTGTGTGTTGGAGGAGGGGCTCTATAAGGAAGTGGCAGATTTTCTCCGGTTGTGTATTTTCAAATTCTAGCGATCTCGAGCCGGTTTCTCAAACGTACCTACCCTACCTTTAATTTAAAAAAAAAAACACAACAATCAATATATACAAAATAACAGTCACTTCAATATCATCGTATTAATGTTTTAAGTTTTAAGAACAATACAGAAAAGCACCTCCACAGACGAACTACACTTGTTTCTCTACACAAACTCTCGTTCTCTCACGTGCTCTCACGAGACTTCACGTTTTCATTCAACAAGATCTGTTTGTGTCTCAAGACTGACACCTAGTGGCGATCATTCGTAACAACACTGGCAACAAACAACATCACTTTAACAATCAAATTATTTTCATGAACCCAAATGAATATATTAAAAAAGTATATTATTTTACATTTTATATGACTGTGTGCCACCTATTATTATGTATTTATTTCAACAAGGACCATGCATACAAATACATTCATCTCAGAAAAGAGAAGAGATGAATTATGCCAGATTATAGCTAATATCTAATTTCCATCTGCAGTCCTGAGGCAGGTACATAACAATCAACAAACACTGCATCATCTCTATCAAACAAACAATTATAAAACATGATTTAAGTACAGGTCAATAAAATAATACATAGTACAGTTAAAATATAATATTACACGTGTTTGTCCCCTGCAGGCGACTAACTGTGGGATCGTGGAGAGCATCTTGAACTGGGTGAAGTTCAAAGCTCAGACGCAGCTCAATAAGAAATGTTCCTCTGTGAAGTACAGCAAGATCAAAGGAATCCCAAAACTGGACGACGCCAACGACGCCGGTGAGTTTACTGTCAGATCGTTTCACATTCAGATTACATTTACTAATGTGTAGAAGTTGTCTGCAAAGCTGTAGTTGTTGCCTCTTAAAAACCTGGTTTTGTGAAATAAAGCCACAAATCCTGCAAAATCACATTCATAAAGTATGATTTTAAGTGTGTTTTTAAAAAGGATCTTCAATCTGATCTCCTCCTGATGGTTGTTCCAGAGATTGTGGACCCTAATGGAACAAACCCCAGTCATCCTTAATCTCCAGGACATTAATTAGATGATTAATCTCCTCTTCACCTTGCTTTAGGAGGGAAACACTCGGCTGAATGCACCCTCATCCTGACGGAGGGCGACTCCGCCAAGTCTCTGGCTGTCTCCGGACTGGGAGTCATCGGACGAGATCGATACGGAGTGTTCCCGCTGAGAGGAAAGATCCTGAACGTGAGGGAGGCCACGCACAAACAGGTACAACACCAGATCAATAATATGTGATATGTTAAAGGGGACCTATCATGCAAAATGCACTTTTGTACGTCTTTTCTACATGAATATGTGTCCCCGGTGTTCCAGGGAACTCACCAAGTGTCAGAAAACACAACCCTCTCTATTTTCCTCCATACCCAAATCTCTAAAAAAGGGGCTGCAACGGATCTGATAAAAACTGATCCAGATTTGAACACTGTCCTGACGTCAGGACGGTGGCGCTACCGCTATTGGGCCAACTCCACCAATCAGGAGGAGACAGCCACGGCCATTGCCGTTCGAAAGCGCTGGAGACGCTGTAGTACATATGCCAGGCCAGTAGGTGGTGCTGTTCTCACTGAATCTGCCCTTGCACAAACAGAGCTAGAAATTGTCAAATTGAGCTAAATGAGGCATGGCTAAAATGCATGATCTGTTTGGTATTTTGAAAAAAAAAAAGTATAAATATGCCTTATATAGGTATGGTCCTACACTATATTATTATAATATAGCATGATAGGTCCACTTTAAGGAACGTGGGGGGGAAAGTTGTTAGACATGTTTGTTTATAGAGCAGATTTCAACAACAAATCTGCACACATTTTTGTTATGTTAAAGGAGAGGTGTCATGGCCATTTCCACTGATCATAATTCCATTGTTGAGGTCTACTAGAATAGATTTATATTGTGCATTTTTCCAAACTCACATTGGTTTCTCATACAGCATCTCTGTAAACTATAGTGTATTCACTGAATTTCACTATTTGCCTTTAACGGCTCGTTGTAGCTCCAATAGCTCCAGCCCCCACCGTCCCTGTGAGCACAGTGTGCTCTGATTGGTCGGGACGTTGTGAATCGCGCTGAGCTCCGTGGAGGTGTTGCTTCCTTGTTTAGGATACATAGCGAAACACAGCCAAATTCATCCTGAGCACACACAAACTCACATCCGAAGTAAAAACAATAAGTGTGGCTTGATATTGAGTAAGAAAAAGGTTGATAAACGCAGAGAGAATGGGTCTGCAGAGAGAATGGGTCTGCAGAGAGAATGGGTCTGCAGAGAGAATGGGTCTGCAGAGAGAATGGGTCTGCAGAGAGAATGGGTCTGCAGAGAGAATGGGTCTGCAGAGAGAATTTGGCCGCGATCCCAACTGTCTGTTATCAGCCTGCAGCCAGGGAGGAGAAATCAGCTGAGCTGCCTGCTCCCTGCACACAGATGTGTGTGTGAGGAAGTCCGTGGATTGGTCAATTTGGACCAATCAGCGGGGACTTAATGTAACGGCTCCGCGGACGTAACGTAACGGCTCTTCGGGATTGGTCCATTTCGTTCCGGGTACCGCTTGACATCATGCCGTACCCGGAACGAAATGGAAGACTCAAATGGACAATGACGTATCTCCAACGAGGCGTTTTGGGGAGGTATTTTCTGTGTTAGAGTTTTACTCTCTACAGGGTGTACTTTGAGGGTTTTGACTCTGCAGACCGTTTACATGCATAAAAACCTTCATAACACACAAGGGGACGGGTAATAACCGGAAAAGCATGACATGGGACCTTTAATACAATTGAGCCGGCTTTCAGCATAAGAAATATCACTGAATCTGAAGTTATAAAATCACTTAAAGCGTTGAGAACAAAGGATATACTTCATTTTCTGTTAAATCAGAGACCAGTCCACATTCACTTTATTTAAATCGAAACTCAAAATATGGTGAGTGAGGAATCAGCTCTGCCAACACTGACCCAATCTTCTGCTCCTTACACTGCCTGTGTTTTAACATGTTCTTTTGTTTTGTTTTATTTGTTTTGTTTTAATGTTCTGTATTTTAAATTGTTTTATTTAAGTATCCCAGTAATGTATACATGTTTTAAATGTATTGTATTTACTTTTAAAATGAAATGTTTTAGGTTGACTTTTAAAATCTGTCCAGGGACTACAGATGAAAACTAGCCTCTTGGCTAACTCTGGCACATTTACAGAAATGTTCATCAATGTGAACTGTCCCTGTTAAATACATGAATCAATACAAAACAAAAACAAAAAACAAGGTGTTTCAAAGTGCTTTAAAAAACCTTAAAAGCATCAACAGAAGCACTGTATAGGACAGCATTTTAATACCGTAATAAACAGTCAATTAAAAGCCAGTTATATAAGAAAATAGAGAAGAATACAAGAATGGAAGTGACATTGCAGTGTTAGATATGAAAAGTAATTTGAGTTATTAAGTGCAGTAGGAAAAAGAAAAGTCTTCAATTGAAAAAGAGTTGCAGAAGATACTGATTGGCTGAAGGTGATCTGGCTCTTTTTTGTTGTTTGAATGTCTTTCTAAGTGTCTTTACGGCTCTTTAAACTCTCATATTCCACTTCAACTCTTTTATACTTAGGACGCATCTGCAAACTGTTTTTATTAGCCAAATAAATGACTAAAATCTGCTTCAAATCTGCTTAAAATTTGCTTAAAATCTGCTTAAAATCTGCTAAAATCTGCTAAAATCTGCTTAAAATCTGCTTAAAATCTGCTTAAAATCTTCTCAAAATCTGCTTAAAATCTGCTTAAAATCTGCTTAAAATCTTCTCAAAATCTGCTTAAAATCTGCTAAAATCTGCTTAAAATCTGCTTAAAATCTGCTAAAATCTGCTTAAAATCTTCTCAAATCTGTTAAAATCTTCTCAAATCTGCTAAAATCTGCTAAAATCAGTTCAAAATCTTCTCAAAATCTGCTAAAATCTGCTAAAATCTGCTAAAATCAGTTTAAAATCTTCTCAAATCAGTTTAAAATCCTCTCAAATCTGCATAGACCAGATGGGATTTTCAATGGTTATAATCTACTTTTGGGATAATGATTCCAAATGAATATGAAATTGCAGCTTAATGAAGATTTTTTTAAGTGCTTTCTTGCATTAAATTACCTTATTTTCCCGCTCTACAGATCATGGAAAATGCTGAGATCAACAACATCATTAAAATCGTGGGCCTCCAATACAAGAAGAGCTACGAAGACCCCGAGTCTCTGAGGAGTTTACGCTACGGTCGCATCATGATTATGACCGATCAGGTAAAACCATCTCTCAAAGACACACAGCTTCATTAGTATCAATTAATAAACAATTAGCAGTAGTTTTTAAACGTGTATATTGTTCCAGGATCAAGATGGCTCCCACATCAAAGGCCTGCTCATCAACTTCTTCCACCACAACTGGCCGTCTCTGCTCAAACACACCTTCCTGGAGGAGTTCATCACCCCCATCGTCAAGGTAAGAGACACCCACAATGCACCTGGGCCACTTCAGGAACCAATGAGAGAGGCTGAAGGCGGGACTAATGGCGTTTGTGTGACACGCTTAAATAACATAAAATGTAATGAAAACGGACGGTTTATTATCACATGTAGAAGCAAACAGTCTGTGTGATCCAGTTATCAAAAGTGGTCACACACACACACACACACACACACACACACACACACACACACACACACACACACACACACACACACACACACACACACACACACACACACACACACACACACACACACACACACAGTCTCTCTCTCTCTCCCTCTCTCTCTCTCTCTATCTCTCTCTCTCTCTATCTCTCTCTATCTCTCTCTCCCTCTCTCTCTCTCCCTCTCGGCGGCCGATCGATCGGAGCATCCCTAATTGTTATTATCTTTGTGTCTCCAGGTAAACAAGAGCAAGCAGGAGTTTGCCTTCTACAGTATCCCTGAGTTCGACGAGTGGAAGAAAAACACAGAGAACTTTAAAACCTGGCACATAAAGTACTACAAAGGTTTGAGACTCCAGTATTTAATATATCTCTATTAACATTGTACAGGGACATTTGCATAAAGTCAAAAGTCCCATCCTTTTTACAAATATATATATTTAACTCTGTTCCAGGTTTGGGTACAAGTACAAGCAAAGAGGCCAAGGAGTATTTTGCAGACATGGAGAAACACCGCATCACGTTCAGATACAGCGGAGCGGAGGACGACGCTGCCATCACTCTGGTGAGTTTCATACGAACATTACATCCTGTTTTAAAGGATTATTATATTAATAATTAATTTCTGAGACATAGTTCAAGTTAACGAATATAAACGAGCATTTGCTGCCTTTATAAATTGGTTAAAAGTGATGTGTTAAATGTCGTGCTGTGTGTTGCTGCAGGCGTTCAGTAAGAAGAAGACGGACGACAGGAAGGAGTGGCTCACAAACTTCATGGAGGACCGACGACAGAGGAGGATGCACGGCCTGCCAGAGGTCAGTGATCAAAGTCAACCAGTGGGAAGATGGTTTTATATAAACATGTGTTTCAATTTAGTTTCCAAAAGCAGACATACCTATTTATATGACCAACTGCGCTCTACGTAAGGTATGAGCAGAGAAAGGTCATTGAACCTGTGATTATTTAAAGATCGAGGAGACAGAAAATGCAATACAATAGGTCAGAGTTCAACTACACATATAGTTTTGAGGAGCAGATAAGGAAATGCATTTTCTAGTTAAACTCTCATATTCTGCTTTAAACTCTTGTATACTCAGGAGGCATCTGCAAACTGTTTTTATGAGCCGAATAAATGACCCAAATCGGCTCAAATCTGCGTAGAATAGATGGGATTTTAGCTGAAATAATGTGTTTCAAGGAGCTCAATTATATTTTGAGTGTTTTCTTGCATTAAATTGATGCCCCGTCAACCAGTGGGAAGATAATTTGGTTTCAAGCCTCTCTGATGAAACAGTGTGTGTAAAATGTGTGTTTTTGATGTGTGTTTTCTCAGCAATACCTGTATGGGACTCAGGCGCGACACCTCTCCTACAACGACTTCATCAACAAAGAACTGATCCTTTTCTCCAACTCTGACAACGAGCGGTCCATCCCGTCGCTGGTGGACGGTTCGTACATCTCACTTTCATTTAGACACCCTGCATGGCTTTACAAACTGCTCTCATGTCATTTAAAAAAAGGGACACAAAATGATATCTTTTCACTTATTTACACCTAAAAATGCCAGTTTGTTCACATAAAGCACAAGTGCCCGGTATAAATAAGGGCTGCACGATTATGGCCAAAAGGGGAAACACGCTTTCATCCTTTTGGCTTTCTTCCCTTGTCTCACTTCCCTGTTGTGCTACATACACAATGGCATTAAAACGATAAAAACGCTGCTGAAGGTTAATCCAATGTGTCTGTGTCACTTTGAAATGATTACTGATAATCCATCGTCATATTTATGTCAATAACGGAGATTTCATATTAGCTGCTATGATAGCTACCAGTGTATGACAGCTTCCGGTTTTGGGCATTCTGGCTGCGCATCACTCATTCACCAATGGGTAATGTTTAGATGGATTTTAGGAACATCCCCTCGATTCTATTGGCTCTAACGGTTCAAAAGAGGTGTCAATCATCAAAATCGACTGAGGGGTTCCAGAGATATGGAAAATACACCCAAATGACCCCAGAAGTGTTTTCTTTTTGCTAAATCTCTCTAAAAAGGTCAAATTTCACTTGTTTTGCTTCAATCTTGATACAGGGTACTTATTATATGTTATAGTTTGGATTCCTAAAGCTTTTAGTCTACTATCCCATCATTCAAGGGTGGTTTTCACTATAAGTAATTTTTATTTTTGGACGGACACTATAATTTACGTTTTTTTACTATGTTCAATCTGAATTTACTTTACAATACAAATAAAATCTATATTGATTCTGACTCTTCTACATCCAACTCACAGGTTTGTCATTGCTTTGAGAAAAAAGATTATTAATTTAACCCTTTTAGAAGTGAAGATATAGTCATTTGTTCTGGGAATGTCATTTTCGAGCCTGAGGCCTGAAAAACAGGCTCAGGGCTCAACAGGTTAAGGCTCTGACATGTGTATTTTTCATACACTCTTTATTGATTATAGGAGCTGAGGTTCCAAAGCTTCCAAAAATAAAAACACGTTAAACGCAATTTATGCCATATGCAGTTGCAAACAAAGAGCAGAAAAGGTCCCAAAGGAAGCATAAGGGTTAAGTCTTCAAATGTTCCTCTAATCGCCTCTAATTTTGGGAGAATGGTAATAAATGTGTGCGTGTGTGTGTTTTGTCTCCAGGTCTGAAGCCGGGCCAGAGGAAGGTGCTGTTCACCTGCATGAAGAGGAACGATAAGAGGGAAGTGAAGGTGGCTCAGCTGGCCGGATCCGTGGCTGAAATGTCTGCCTACCATCATGGAGAGGTACAGTCACTTCTCCGTCTCCAGAACACAAGATACAGAGAACAAAGAGGCTTTATATTATAGCTTTTATAGCTAAAGCACCAGAAATAAAACCTTTATTATCCCAGAAAGCACAACCAATACCATCCATGGCAGCCTTATGGGGCATATCCACTGCAGGGCCTCGCACGGCTTAGTACGGTATAGTTAGGCCTTGGTAGGCCAGGCTCACTTTATGCTGCGTTTCCATTACAGTTTAGTAGCTGGGGCAGTAACTATAGTAACGCAGTGTAGGCGGAGCCGTGACGTCATCTTCAATGAGAACCACAAAACCAACATCAGCCGTTAGCTGTTAGCCCTCAGAGCTCACAGCTCCTCATATCTGTTCAGAAACTAGACAAAAGTTAAACAAGTACAAACCACAGACTGCCTGTGTCATGGTGAATACAGTCGCTGCTTTATTTATGTCTGTATAGGCCGTTGTTGTGAGTGTGGACGGTCGGAGCATATACTGCGTTAGCTTAGCCGATCTCCATTCAGAAAACACGCATTTTAAAAGGTGTTTCGCCTGCCGTCTGTCTGCAGACTTGTCAAAGCATTAATTCATGGTTTTTACTAACCGGTATCAGTATGTTGTTACTTCGGCATCATTTAGAAACGTGTATTACAATTAAATCACGGTCAAATATGTTCATTGTGTTGTAGTTGTAGCCACTCACATCACTAGTTTAGCATACTCAGCCCGGTTGTTGGCCCGGAAAGAACCACGATTTTGGAGAGCCAGAAAAACTGTGAACGAGTACCCGTTAGCCGGTGTTGTGTCAAATTATGCACCCCCGTCGTGAAATGCACCCCCTGGCCTGCCGTAAAAAGCACCCCCCCAAAAAGATGCTTCTATTAATCCCACCCTCAAGCACTTTGGAGGGTATCGTTGTAGGACTAGTACCAATACATGGAGCAAGTTTCATGTATGTGACACGTTTATTGTCAGAGATAGCAAGGGGTGCATATCGTGGCAACCAGGCTGTTCATAAAAACCACCCCCCAAAATAAAAATGTTTCTATTAATCCCACCCTCAAGCACTTGATGTAAAAATAAACAATACATTGTAAAGCACAAGCACAAGCACAAGTATACAGACAGGACGTCACAATTAAATAAAAACATATATTAAATAAAAAATTAGCTGAAAAATAAGTGACGAGTGAATGAACCCAAACATCAAAAAGACAACATTGAATAGCGGACTGTACGTTCAAATGTGTGTTCCCGTGTCAAGGGGTGCATTTCACGACGGGGGTGCATAATTTGACACAACACCGAAACTACCCCTAGTGGAAACGCAGAAAAAAACGGGCCGGGTTTGGCACGGCCCGTTTAAACCGTGCTACGCGCTGCAGTGGAAATGCGCCATTATATAACATACGTACATTCATTTTGGGAAATAAATAAAGAAGGTGTTGTGATGGAAACTTCTGAAGCAACGGAGTCGAAACTCAGAGAGACACGGGGAGAGCTGGAGCTTTGATGGCAAACACTGACGGTTTATTATGGAGTTAATTCTGAAGATCTCTCTCTAACTAGTTCAGAGTGTAATAATCATCATTCCTCATCAGCGAGACTAAACAAATATGGACCCTGAATCTAACTAGAGCTGTCGCCCATAGATGTCCCTGAACAATTGTTGTAACTTCCTTTATTTAAGACGGTAAAAACATTTGTTTATTTGCTTCTTGACAAAAGTTAAGGGAGAAATGTCTGGCAGGAAATGCTTATAGTTTGAAGTGCAAGTATGTGTCCTGCTCTCTCTCGTTCCAGTTATGTTTTGGAATGAATACGAGTATGTCGAGTGCATTTTCCCCGTCTTCTACCGCTCTTGTTGGAAACTGTTATATTAATATAAACTAATAACGTTCAGTTTGGACTAGACTCGCTTTGTTCTTCATTTGAAGCTTCTATGACACAACAACAATAAACATGGCAGCTTGTGCTCGTTCATAATCAACAACAATGATCCCAAGCTGCTCCTCCTTAAGAGAGATAGCAGCAATGCCTAAGCAAATGATTCCCCAGCAGGTATGTCAGAGACTCTCTATTGGCGCGTTTCCACTACACGGCCTCGCTCGGCCCCGCTCGGTATGGCTGGGCCTCGTTAGGACTGGCTCACTTTATGGCGCATTTCCATTACAGTTTAGGAACTGGGGTAGTATCTATAGTAACGCAGTGTAGGCGGAGCCGTGACGTCATCTTCAATGAGAACCCCAGAAAAACAACACAGCCGTTAGCTGTTAGCACTCAGAGCTCACAGCTCCTCATATATGTTCAGAAACTAGACAAAAGTTAAACAAGTACAAACCACAGACTGCCTGTGTCATGGTGAATACAGTCGCTGCTTTATTTATGTCTGTATAGGCCTTTGTTGTGAGTGTGGACGGTCGGAGCATATACTGCGTTAGCTTAGCCGATCTCCATTTAGAACACAAGCATTTTAAAAGGTTTTTCGCCTGCCGTCTGTCTGCAGACTTGACAAAGCATTAATTCATGGTTTTTACTAACCGGTATCAGTATGTTGTTACTTCGGCATCATTTTGAAACGTGTATTACAATTTAAATCACGGTCAAATATGTCCATCTTGTTGTAGTTGTAGCCCCCTTGCCAGCGATGCTCTCTCTAGTTTAGCATACTCAGCCCGACTCAGCCTCGTTGTCTCTGGCCCTAGACCCGCGATTTTATGAGGCCAGAAAAACTGTGAATTAGGACCCGCCGGCCGGTACTAGGCCAAGTGGAAACGCAACCAAAGACGGGCCGCTGACGTCACAGCCCTCTTAAACCGTGCTCCGCGCTGTAGTGGAAACGCGCCATATGTTATTCCCTCTCACTGACCCCCCTCCTCTCCTTTGTCCCTGCAGCAAGCTCTGATGATGACCATCGTGAACTTGGCTCAGAACTTCGTTGGCAGCAACAACGTGAACATCCTGCAGCCGCTCGGTCAGTTCGGTACTCGCATCAACGGAGGAAAAGATGCTGCCAGCCCTCGATACATCTTCACCATGCTCAGGTAAACACAGGACACTTCACACCAGGGTGCTTTAGTTACGCAGCCTACACACGGCGGCGTGCGTTGCCGCTTGGCGGTGGGCGTGTCTTGAGCTTGGGGAGTTTACGCGAGCAACGCGACCAACAACCAATCACATGAATCTCCCGTGTCTCTCCCCAAGGGCTGGACAATTGAAGAAGTGACCAGAAAGTCGGGTTTGTCAGCTGGAAAAAGCGATGTCTATTATTTTAGGTACTAAACGAACGGGGGCTTGCAAAACTTTTATCTGCTGCAGGACACAAGAGTTTGCGGAAACAAGACAGGAGTTGATAATTGGAAGGGGGGGTCTGTGTAAAGTTTGTGATGGGAAGGGGGGGGGGGGGTTTCTGTTTGCAGCGGGGTGAAAAGGCTTTAAAAAGGCTCCCGTGTATGAATCTCACCATAGACATTAATGTCTAAAAAGCGATTTTTAATTAATGTCTATGGTGCTATTTTATGCAACATTGCATGGTGGCTAAATATACTGTCTATGCCTGCTGTCCATTCAAACGAAGTACACTGGATATAAACTCCCCAAACAGGCGAAAACCTAGCAGTTTCACCCACTGTCTCTGCCACCTCCCTCCATGCCCGACTCCTCCGGTTTGTATCCCGGTAGGTGAACAGGGACTGAAAGCACCGGGTGATTCCCTACCGCTACGATTATTTTCTCCTCCATTTTTTGGCATATGAGGAAATGAACTGCGGTCTGGCTCTCTCAGCATACACGCGGTTTGATTGGCTAGCGCTTGTACTGGCAGATTTGCATACGCAGGATTTGATTGGCTGACGCCTCCGCCTCAGCTTCAAAAGTAGAACATTGCTCTACTTTTGCAGCGAGCACCGCGAGGAAAGCTACGCTTTGCTCCCAGAATGCAGTTCGGCAAATCGTGACGTCACCCCATTCAAAGTGAATGGGCAGAAGCGTTGAAGCGTTGAAGCGTCAACGCACGCCGCCGTGTGTAGGGGCCGTTACTGCCAGAGATACAGGGTCCCTCGATTCAATAAAGTCAGACTGAAGCATCCTTTGTGCTCCAGTCTGTCCTCTCAGTGAACACAGAGCTGAATCCAGATCAGAGCACGCTGAAGGTCTTTGAGCAGCTTCTCTCTCACTGATTGTGCTGTTATGTTTGTTGTTTGTTTCTCATGTATTGTGTCTTGATATTTGTCTGTTGATGTTACACATGGAGCTGCTGTGATGCAAGGAGCATTTCAGACTTGATCTGACCATTCAAGTATTATCGTGTCGTATCGTAGATGATGATACCATGATATGCACGCTCTTTACATTTTAAATCTATTTGTTCTTGCCTTTCTAAACATCAAACTGCAGTCTATCTAACAGAATAAGTGCCTGGTGTAAATAAGGGCTGCACGATCATGGCCAAAACGCCAAGACGCTTTTATAATTTTGGCCTTTTTCGCTTGCTTTCACTTCCCTACATTAAAGCTAATTTAATATATACATATATATTTGTTATTGTAACAGAAATTATTTCAATCCCGTGCCAAAAATCACTTGTTTATATCCAAAAAAGTGTTGATTTACAACCCCTTAAAATCCGTAATTCCTCTTGACTTCCGCTTTTAAAGATTTGGTTTTAAAAACAAGTCTCAAAATAAGTTTCTTCTTTACCAGAATTCAGTGTATTTGTTGCATAATAAAGAAAAAAGCTCAGTGTTAGACTGATAGAATACAATGCATACAATCATACTGTTTGTTAAGGAATAATTCTTCTAGATATCTAACCTTTTGCTCTGTGACGTTTTATGATCTACTCCGACGTCTGTTATCTCCTTTAAGGAAAGGCCTTGGTGCCATATGTGTTGTTGTCACCAGTTTGTGACCGGTCAACTTGTCTGGCACGAAGGGTAATTGTTGTGGGAACGCTGAGGCATTTCTTTATCGGTGTTTGTGGACTCTAAGATGTGAAATCTTTGAGGCCATGAGCGTCGGACGCGGGTGGCTCAGTGTTCCCAGCTGTTTAGTCTACTCCTTCAGAGATGTTGATTTCTCTCTGTGAACCAGTTAAAAGGTCTAGCATAGAGAGAGGCTCTTCAGAATTCACGTGGCAACTCTACCGTGTGGTCAGACCCTCTGACTCTTTGACTTGTGATGTGAATCCTCCGGCCGAATACTCTGAATAAACCCATCAGTGTTTGACATCAAAAGCTCCAACTCTCACCGTGTCTCCTTCCTGAGTCGGTGACTTCCACTGCATTGCTACACAGAAGTTTCCCCCACACTGTTTATACAAGACTGCATCTTCAATATTAGGAACGTCAACCACGTTCATTTAATTATCATCATACAAAAATGTGCATCCCTAGTATCTAAAAACCTTTAATAAAACCTTTAAAGTCCAGATACATTTGTATTACAGGTCTCCTATGATGCAAAATGTACTTTTTGATGTCTTTTATACATAAATATGTGTCCCCGGTGTGTCAGGAGACTCACAAAGTACCCACATCTCTAAAAACGGGGGTTTGCTGCGTTCATGACGTAATATCGGAAATGTGGGCATCCCTAGTATCTAAAACCTAGACCTCTCAAAGTCCAGATGAATGTCTATAGTTCTCCTAACGTTGCTGTCCCTCCCCTCAGTCCTCTGGCGAAGCTGCTGTTCCCGTCCGGAGATGCCAACCTGCTGAAGTTCCTGTACGATGATAACCAGAAGGTGGAGCCGGAGTGGTACATCCCCATCATCCCCATGGTGCTGGTGAACGGGGCCGAGGGCATCGGCACCGGGTGGGCCTGCAAACTCCCCAACTACGACCCCCGAGAGATTGTCAACAACATCTACCGGCTGCTCAAACACCAGGACCCCCTGCCCATGGTGAGCGGGAGTTAAAATAACTGATGGAAATTGATTTATAATCTAGTTGTTATGCTTCACTAGACGGGCAAAAAAACGACCTAAAAGATTAATAAATGCCGTCTCACGGAGGTGGATTTGTCCTTATTATCGCTGGTTGGTATCGACCATTGAGGGAGATGCCACTCTGGATTTCTGTACGTTAATATCAGGGTTCTTACGGTCATTAAAAACCTGGAAAAGTCATGGAAATTCAAAATGCTAATTCCAGGCTCTGGAAAAGTTATGGAAAACAATATTTTTCTCAAAGTCTTGGAAAAGTCATGGAAATGTAACTAAAGTTGCATGAAATATAATTTATGTTATCTAATCGCCAAAATAGTAATACTATAATGATAATAAATACTGTATCGTATAGTAATGAAACGTAAAATGGCATTTAACTGTCGAGGTATTTTGCTGGTGAGAGATTTGAGTTGCTTTAGCGTGTAGAAGCTAGTAAGCCTACTATTGGATTTGTTTTAGATAGGCACAACATGTTTCAGACCTTATTTTCCTGTTCCATGTTAAAATAAACCATTTTCAGTGGTACCGCTGAGAAAGAGTAATTATTTTGGTCATGGAAAATTAGGTAAAGGTCCTGGAGAAGTTATGGAGAAGTCATTGAAAATCATTGGTGAAAAAGGGTATGAACCCTGAATATATAATATAATCAGAATCAGAATACCTTTATTAGTCCCACGGAGGGGACATTTGCGTAGTTACAGCAGGAAAAAGAGCCACAGACAGCTTAATGTTACATATGTTAAATATGTGACATGCATTTAAAAAAAGTACTAAGTTATGATATAATAAAAAATATAATAAAAAATAAAAAGTTACATAATTTCAAAAAATACACATCCTGTAACAGTTCTTAGGATTTAGCAGCCAGGTATATATTACACAGTTATTAACGGCATCTATATATATTGCACATCTAGCACATATTGCACATAGGTGGTTGGTATTTAACAGCAGCAAGTTACACAATTTACAAAATACAAAATACACACCTTGTAACAGTTCTAAGGATTTAGCAGCCAGGTATATATTACACAGTTATTAATGGCATTTATATATTGCACATATTGCACATAGTTGACAAGTTTTGTTGTTGAATTGATAACAAACATTTATAATCCGGTCAAAAATATGAATATATGCACAGGTAGTGAAGAAAATAGTCAATTAGGAGGCAGTTTAAGAAACTTACAAGTTCACTAATCAAACAGATCCCACAAGAAAACACTGGATGTTATTTACAATCCAACACACGTAAAATGAAAGGTCAGATTGCAGGTTAAAGTGGGTAAAGATTGAGGCATCAAATCTGTTTTTGTTAAGGAGGTATTGCCTCAAAAATAGGATTAATGGTTTGCTGTGATACGCAGAATATGAGCAAGGGTTATGAAGGTCTAGAAGTAAAAATACTGCTATATAACTTTTGCAATTGCCTTACGTGGCTTAAATTAAATATGTTAAATTCTAGTCTTTCATTGACTTTGAAATCTGAGATGTGATACCCTCAAACGTTTTGAAATATACTGTGTGCTCCCTCCAAGAAGAGAGAGAATTAGGAGTCTGAATCTACTCTTGTTAAATCACATTATCGTGCGGGTGCATCAGGAGACTTTTCTCAGTGTTTCCGTGTTACTGAATGTTATCTCTGTCTCCTCACAGCTTCCCAGGTACAAGAACTTCAAAGGAGTGATCCATGAGCTGGGTCAGAACCAGTACCTGATGAGTGGAGAGGTGTCGGTGCTCGACAGAACCACCATCGAGATCACAGAGCTTCCTGTGCGCACCTGGACTCAGGTACAACCTAAAGTTATCTAAAAGTGATCTAAATATGAAAAACTGTTTGCAGTGATAAGATGCAATAATAATAAAATGTGTGGTGATTATCCCTCGTCAGAGGTGGGACGTAGTGGAGTACAAATACTTCGTTACTGTACTTAAGTAAACGTTGTCATGTTGCCGTTGTTCAGCATGGAAACATTCATTAGCTAACAATGATATTATTGTTCTATTAATATAAAGGGAGGTCAGGTACTCTTTAAAGCAGCTGCTAGTTATGGGTACTTTTTACTGAAGTACATTTCAAAGCCCTCTTTACTTTTACTTGAGTAACGAAGTTTAGTCAGTACTTCTACTTTCACCAGAGTATTTTTAAACACGAGTATCTGTACTTCTACTTGAGTAAAGCATGTGTGTACTTTAACCATCTCTCTCCCCCGTTGTGTTCAGTCGTATAAGGAGTCCGTTCTGGAGCCCATGCTGCAGGGAACAGATAAAACTCCCGCTCTCATCAACGACTATAAGGAATATCACACGGACCAGACGGTGAAGTTCGTGGTCCGGATGTCGGAGGAGAAGCTGGCTCAGGCCGAGTCCGTCGGGCTGCACAAAGTCTTCAAGCTGCAGTCAACTCTCACCTGCAACTCCATGGTAAAGAGAGAGACTTAACTCCATATAACACCTCACAGGGACCAAGAACAGAATATGAAATTAAATAATGTACATTAAGACAAAATTAAATACGGTTTACCCTTACGCTTTAAAGTGGGCCTATCATGCTATATTTGAATAACATAGTGTAGGACCATACCTATATAAGGCATATTTATACTTTTTTTTTCTTCAAAATACCAAACAGATCATGCATTTTAGCCATGCCTCATTTTGCTCAATTTGACATTTTTTAGTTCTGGGCAGATTCAGTGAGAACAGCACCACCTACAGGCCTGGCATATGTACTACAGCGTCTCCAGCGCTTTCGAACGGCAATGGCCGTGGCTGTCTCCTCCTGATTGGTGGAGTTGGCCCAATAGCCGTAGCGCCACCGTCCTGACGTCAGGACAGTGTTCAAATCTGGATCAGTTTTTATCAGATCCGTTGCAGCCCCTTTTTTAGAGATTTGGGTATGGAGGAAAATAGAGAGGGTTGTGTTTTCTGACACTTGGTGAGTTCCCTGGAACACCGGGGACACATATTCATGTAGAAAAGACGTACAAAAGTGCATTTTGCATGATAGGTCCCCTTTAAGTTGTTTTTTGGAGAATTATGATCTGACTCAAATCCATTTCTCTGTCTGAGCAACACAGACAGACTGAAGCAGATGTGCTTTTTAGACTAGCTTTTTAAAACACCTTTATTTCTGGTGTACCAAGGAATCGGATACATTCATACTCAATGTACAATTTCTGAATAAGACCAATAGAAGAGCACACATAACCCTATTTATAAAGTGTTAAGTCTTCACTGTGTTTTTTTTCTAAAACCAGATTTATTTTCAGTTTTTTAATGTGCAGTTTTACAATTGTATTATTTATTTCACTCTATTTTATTCTCTATATACCACCTTTTTAATCTGTAGTTTCTTAACACTTGACTATGAATCTTAAACCACTTCCTCCCCCCCTTCTTCAGGTGCTTTTTGATCACATGGGCTGTATGAAGCGTTACGACTCGGTTCAAGATATCCTCAAAGAATTCTTCGACCTGCGTCTCCAATATTACAAACTGAGGAAGGATTGGCTGCTGGGAAGTCTGGGAGCCGAAGCCTCGAAACTGTCCAATCAGGCTCGCTTCGTCCTGGAGAAGATCGAGGGAAAAATCACCATTGGTATGTGTTCGAAAAATCTCACTGGTCCCCGGCTTGAACTTCAATCTCAGGATGTGTTTGTGATCCTCTCCAGAATGGAAGTAGTCATCACATACAGAGCATCAACTAGTTCCTGAACAGTGTCCTTCACATGCTGATATCCAAGAGAGGGAGTTACACAGTCACAAGATGGAGGAATACCGGTTCTTCATACATCCTGTCATGAACCAAATACTGAGTTTTATCTAAAAATGTTGACTTTTTTCAAGAAATCTCAAAATTCTGACTTTTTCTCAAAATTCTGACTTTTTCTCAAAATGCTGACTTTATCTCAAAATTCTGACTTTTTCTCAAAATTCTGAATTTTTCGCAAAGATCTGACATTTTTTCTCAAAAATCTGACTTTTTCTCAAAATTTGAAAATTATGACTTTTTCTCAAAATCTCACCATTATGAATTTTTCTCAAAAATCTGAAAATTATGACTTTTTCTCAAAAATATGAAAAATTATGACTTTTTCCTCAAAATCTCAACATTATGAATTTTTCTCAAAAATCTGACATTTTTTCTCAAAAATCTGACTTTTTCTCAAAATCTGAAAATTATGACTTTTTCTCAAAATCTCACCATTATGAATTTTTCTCAAAAATCTGAAAATTATGACTTTTTCTCAAAATCTGAAAATTATGACTTTTTCTCAAAAATCAGAAAATTATGACTTTTTCTCAAAAATCTGAAAATGATGACTTTTTCTCAAAATCTCAACATTATGAATTTTTCTCAAAAATCTGACTTTTTTTCACAAAAATCTGACTTTTTCTCAAAATCTGAACATTCTGACTTTTTCTGAATACTTAAAAATGTTAATAATCACTCGTCCCCGGCTTGAACTTCAATCTCAGGATCCATGTATTTGTGATCCTCTCCAGAATGGAAGTAGTCATCACATACAGAGCATCAACTAGTTCCTGAACAGTGTCCTTCACATGCTGATATCCAAGAGAGGGAGTTACACAGTCACAAGATGGAGGAATAGAAAGCAGTATTCAATGTTTACTTCAGATTAGCTCCACGTCAGAAATGAGCATGCTTGTCATATGTCTATCTCCATAGAGGCTGAATCATCATGTTAATCACATAGCTATCATATGCCTCAAACAGTCCTGATGCTCTTCTAGGTAATCATACATCCTGTCATGTTCACAGCTACAGTTGGGATACCTTTGTTATCATGTTACTCTCATATTGGAAGAGGACATTCAGGATTTTCCCATCAGTGTGAATGCTGGAAAACCTGATCTCTTTGTGTAACAGTGAGTGGTTTAATACCGTCTAACATGTGTGTTTTATTTGTCTTTAATAGAGAATAAAAGCAAGCGAGAGCTGATCCGCATGCTGGTGCAGAAAGGATTCGAATCAGATCCAGTGGCTGCCTGGACTAAAGCTCAGGAGAAGGTACTTATACACAGGTTTTATTCTACATTTACACATATAAATACATATAGGAACAACAGGAAGTCCATAAGGCCTGTTATATGTGACATAAATATTACAATGCATATATCAAAGTCTGTTCAGATCAACCAAACATAATAACTTTACAACATAGACAATCCTGAAGACAAAATTATAATGTCAAAGTATTTAAAATAAAGGGTTATACCTGGCAGTGGCTCAGTCAGTAGGGGCTTGGACTGTGAGCCGTAGGGTCGCCGGTTCAAGTCCCCAACCAGACCTAAATATGGAGTGTGGACTGCTACTTGGAGAGGTCCCAGTTCACCTCCTGGGCCCTGCCGTGGTGCCCTTGAGCAAGGCACCGGACAGAGAAGTGGTTTAAAGGTCAAAGATGGGTTCAGGTGACAGTAAAACAGGAACATGTGTTGTCTGGGGATGCAACATGGATGAAAGGAATATAAAAAGGTTAGAAAAGTTTCAAAATAACTATAATTTCACAGGAAGACTAGGGCTAGAGGAATGGGAGAATCTGGTTAGGGATTTTTCCAAATATCTGGAGGTCCGCTGCAACTCTGACTACTTTTAAATCCAGGCTGAAGACTTTTCTTTTTGCCGCTGCTTTTAATTGAACTCGTCACATCTCACACTGCTCTGTAACTTTTATTCATGTACCTGTTATTCATGTTTCATTATCTTTGCTTTTAAATGTTTCTAATGTGTTTCTGCTGCACTATTTCCTAATGCTCTTAATGGCTTTCATTTTTGTAAACAGGTGGGAAGTAGTGGAGTACAAATACTTCGTTACTGTACTTTAATACATGTTTCTGGTATCAGTACTTGACTCCACTACTTATTTTTCTGACGACTTTTTACTTTGACTTCTTACATTTTGAACACAAATACCTGTACTTTCTACTTCTTACACTTTGAACACAAATACCTGTACTTTCTACTTCTTACATGTTGAACTCAAATACCTGTACTTTCTACTTCTTACATGTTGAACACAAATACCTGTACTTTCTACTTCTTACATTTTGAACACAAATACCTGTACTTTCTACTTCTTACATGTTGAACTCAAATACCTGTACTTTCTACTTCTTACATGTTGAACACAAATACCTGTACTTTCTACTTCTTACATGTTGAACACAAATACCTGTACTTTCTACTTCTTACATTTTGAACCCAAATACCTGTACTTTCTACTTCTTACATGTTGAACACAAATACCTGTACTTTCTACTTCTTACATTTTGAACACAAATACTTGTACTTTCTACTTCTTACATTTTGAACCCAAATACCTGTACTTTCTACTTCTTACATGTTGAACACAAATACCTGTACTTTCTACTTCTTACATTTTGAACACAAATACCTGTACTTTCTACTTCTCACATTTTCCAAACAGGCTGGTTCCTTTAGTTTGAATGTGTGTTTGGTGGCGTGATCATTATTATTTAGAGTCATTGCGTGCCTATTGATTTGAACACGATCCGTGTATCCATCATTTCCTGGTCTTCTCTAAAGAAGAGGGACCAATGAAAACGTTGTCATGTTGCCGTTGTTCAGCATGGAAACATTCATTAGCTAACAATGACATTATTGTTCTATTAATATAAAGGGAGGTCAGGTACTCTTTAAAACAGCTGCTAGTTATGGGTACTTTTTACTGAAGTACATTTCAAAGCCCTCTTTACTTCTACTTGAGTAAAGAAGTTTAGTCAGTACTTCTACTTTTACCAGAGTATTTTTAAACACGAGTATCTGTACTTCTACTTGAGTAAAGGATGTGTGTACTCTTCACATCTCTGTTTGTAAAGCACCTTGAGTTGCCTTGTGTTGAAAGGTGCTGTATAAATAAACTAGCCTTGCCTTATCTTCTGATTCC